CTGGACCAGGATGGGGAGATCGGCGACACAGCGGACCTCGCCGCCAAGCTGGGCGTCGACCACATGAGTCTCGTGGGCGTGATGAAGAGCCTGGAATCTGCGGAAATGGTTGTCTCGCAGGTGATACGGCGCCGATGGGCTGTCTTTCGGAGCCCTCGGATGGCGCTGCCGGTGTCGACCCCGGACGATGCCGAACACTATTGACAGATATCGGCTTGCATGTTGTTGCTGCTTCTGTTGCTTTGAATTCAAATTTTATGTCACATTTAAGAATCCAGATGTCGGCCTTGTCCTGGCAGAAGAGACGCTGGCCGCGTGCCCCCTCACAAGACAGCTAAAGGCGATGTAAAAGCCAAAAGAATTGACTGTATGAAAGATGAAACTGACTGCGCAGCACCTCAAGGAAGTGTCGTTGTTCCTCAGGGCAGGGCACTCAGTAAGTTGATGTATCGGTTCCTTGCTGGCGAATGTCCAAAGTAGTCACAGACTTCAACGCCTGTCCCAATGGGGTCAGTGTTATCCACTCACACTCCATTTCTCTGTGTGCCAGCAGGCCATGGACCATTTTCGGTTCCTGCTGACCGATGAGGCGGAGGGGTACAGGACTAGCGCCAGCCCAGAAGTGCAGGTCTTCAATGCCATCCCCCAGGATGGCATTGATCTTAAGGACCTCCAGGTGATGCAAAAGTTTGAAGATCCAACAACCTGTGCAAAATGACCATTGTCAAGATCCTGTCATGAGTTATACAGCTGTGATCCCTGTGAACAGAACAGAAGCACTGCATGCCCTTTCCTGAGGTTATCAAGTGAGTGGCTGCTCCATGTGGAAGGGTGGCTCCAAAGGGCACTGCCATGACAAGTGGTTAGATACAGCCCCACGAAGGCATCTCAAGATGGCTTGTACTGCAGGAAGGCCTGGACAAAGTTGTGAGCGCAGCAGGCTTCAAACAGGCGATGCAACTGAAATGGATCAAATGTGACAAATCTACTGGATCAACAACTGTGCTGCGGCTGGTGAGTCAGAGCATCACTTGGTTTGTTCAACTGCAGAAATCTGTCATAGTTCAATCAGTGCTGTGATTGCAGATTTTGTGGAAATGACTGATTATGCAGGGCCAGCACACACACTGGTAGTTGATTTTTGTAGGGAGGGGCCGAACCAAAAGATTGTTTATTGTGGGCTCACAAGCCGATCCGAGCAGTCCCATTCAGCTTCCTGTCTTACCTTTCGTGCATTGCCACGTTCTGGGTGCCACACAAGCCAGCAATGCGATATTCAACAATGCTAACAATAAGCAAGCATGCGATGTGCATCTACCTCATTGCAAGTTACGAGACACTCCTTGCTGTCTGAAGAAGGCACCTTGGAAGTGCAGGAGAAGCAGCAAGCAGCGAGCTGTACTGAGAACTAGCAAAACTCTCGCGGGGAAGGCCATGTGGCTAAGGGAAATCAATATCTAATAGAGCTGTATGTCAGAAAGACGTGTACCCATCTACAGGTAGTCTTGTGTTGAGGGAATCCTAGCAGCTTATCCTCAACAGTGCTGCGGCCCAGCTTTGGAAGACATGCATGCAACTGAAGAACACTATAGGCATCAGCCTGTTTGGCAGTGCTGCATATTACATCCTGACTGTGAAGCAAGGATGGAGCTATGTTCGCACAGGACAACAATGGAATTGTCTGCATCTACATACCAGCCTGGAAGTCAGAGAGATTGCTCTGAATTGCTGCAAGAGTCTGTGTTGTACGTTGCAGAATCAACACAACAGATTCTGAGATTCTGACATACTTCTGAAGTACTAAGATTCACAATCTCCAGAAGGAACTGCGGATGTGGTTGCAAAAGATTCAGTGTTGGCTGGTCACTGGGCTATAGATTCCAAGTGCAGCCAGCAGACAATGCCGGCCATCGAAAAGACCCCTGTACGTTTTCTATTGGTTCATCGTCTATTGTGCAGGGACAAGCGAGATGATAAATCTGTTGTGCCTTTGGGTTGACAGGCGGAGTTCGTGGAAGACAGGGTGCAAGCACTGCTGCAGTCTGTGGCTGATGGTGAAGATTTACCAAAGGCGGACATTGACCTTCTGAAGAAACGGCGCCTAATCAGACCACAGTGAGAGCCATACTGACTGCAGAATAATCATATCTGCATGTCTGATCGTTGCATGAATACAGATGATCTACGATCTGTTAGATAACTGTCTTTTATTGGTGGTTAAGTGGGTGCTGGCTGACAAAGACGCACTGTAGGAAGGATCTGGTAGTGCATTGGTGTCCAGTGGTAGTTGAGAAGCTTGCTTTGCTGTAGTATCATGGTATGGCAGTGCTTGGCAGCAGTGTTTGATGCCGGTAACATATAATGTCATATCGCAGTAGTATATAGAGGCAATATCATATCATAGGCAGCCACAGCGAATCAGTAGTCAATCTTGAGAATTGTGTGCAACTGTGTGGTCAGATATGCTGCTGTTTTGCAATGGTGGGCGATGTTCACATACTAGGACACCTCATGCTTGGCTCTAGTTCCATATGGTCTATGGTGGTGAATATGTGAGTGAGACCTGTGTTGAGTACCATATTTGGTAGTTTGCAGTGGTGGCAATTCAAGAGTGTGTTGATCACAGTGGCTCTCCAGAACATTCTGAATGCTCTTGGGTGGTGCGTGGCAGCCTGATGTTTAATCGTCGCTACCTCAGTACAGGAACAAGATGTGGCACCTTCTGAATATAGACCTGGCCTGGATCGCATCACATGGGTTCCTGCTGTTGCAAGGCCCCCAGTGTAGCTCTGCAGGGTTTGAACATTATTAACTGGTTTTTCAGAATGTGACAACACAAAGGAGCCATGTGCCTATTTGCCAAAGCTTTGGAGAACTTGTTTATGTCTGCTTTCGACATCTCCATTGACATGTTGTTATCATTGCGGGTGGCCTTTGTGCATTCTTATGTTGCAATTTGGTGGGTACACCAACTGCAAGCCCTGGGTATGCCTCTACTGAAAAGCTGGCAGATCCAACTTATGCATCTGTTGGAGAAGATCCACTGTTCCCCATTCTCGAGCCAAAGCTTTTCTCTTGCTCTTACACTGCAGGGAAGGGGCTTCGATGCCCGGGGCTCCTGGATATCATGAATCATGTCTTTGGTGCTCGCTGACATGATACTCCTGGAAGCCCTGACATCCTCAATTGCATGTAATGCAGATCTTGGAAGACCTACAAACTGGTGAAGGGGCCTAAGTTTGCACTTGAAAAGAGGAAACCCGCGACAGAGCTGACACATGAAATGCTGAAGACGTGAGTGTCGCACGTGATGCATGCTGTTATTGAAGTTTTGTCCTTTGAAAACGGGCATGGTGTTTCAACTTTGGCGTGGTGCTGTTGGTTCATGCCAGCCTGTTGTTGTACAGTTCCCCTCATAGCAGGGTGTTGCTAAATAGTTGAATGGTTGCAATAAGCCTGCAGGGTCATACAGGACAATAATTTCTGTTGTCAAGTTGAGTGTCCAAGTGCTATGTTGTTTCTTTTAATCACCATCTATTTGTGACAGCCGTTCCTGTAATATTGGCCTGCTGGCTGTTGTGAGTTCTTTGGTTGTTTCTGAGTAATGCTATACTTGGTGCATCCTTCCAGGGGAGCATGGAAAGACCTCGAATTCAAGCCATATAATTTCGATGCCCTTGGCCAACTGCCATTGGGAGGCCACCTCCACCCTCTCATGAAGGTTAGAATGAGCATTGTTGTCCCACATAGCAGTGCCAGCACAGCAGGGAGAGCTGCCATCACATTAAGAAGTCCATATTTGTGACCTACTCCCTGTAGCCTGAATCCCAGCTGCTGAAAGCTGCATTAAGTGCAACAGCCTTGCAAATATGTGGTCAATATGCCAGGTTTTCTTTTTTTCCACTGCCACAACTGGGAATGTGGGCTGGTGGGGTTTCCCCGCAACGGCACAGATGCTGTTGATACTGTGAGCCATGGTTTGGTGTTTACATTAGCAAATGTTTGAAAGATTGGACTTGTGGCGATTCATGTGGCCTCTTGCCATGTTACACTGTGCATTTGCCAATGCCCAGATTGCCGTCCGGGTACCCATATCCTGGATTGGTTGTGGCAGGTGCGCACACAGTTTCGCAAAATCTTCACCCAGATGGGCTTTGAAGAAATGCCATCCAATCAGTACGTGGAGAGCAGCTTCTGGAATTTCGATGCACTTTTTCAACCGCAGCAGCACCCTGCAAGAGATGCCCATGACACGTTCTTCCTCACAAACCCAGCGACATCATCGAATTTCCCACCTGATTACATGGAAAGGGTGAAAACGACCCATGAATCAGGCGGCTATGGTTCAAGGGGGTAAGCTGTGGGACTCAGCCATGCACAATAAAATTTCTTGTACAGTTGGCCTCTGCTGGCCCAGACACTGCAAGGCAACAGCCAACATCTCTGCATCTATTCAATTGTCAAATGTACTGTAGTGTCATAGGAATGCATGCTCACAATCCAATTGCCCAATACTGGTGAATAACTGTGTGGAACAATTGAGTGCGGATAGCCCTGCGGCCTCAATGACCTGGGCAAGATCGTGGCTTTCCTACTTTGGTCAGTCTTTTGGTAAAGGGAAATAAGCTGTTGACCAGTCTTTTGAGGCGAGATTTAGCACAGGCATCCTCGTGCACAACGATGCATGGCGATGAGGCCATGTTTGTGTCCCTTTGTCATGTGCCAAGATATGTGTTTTGGTCTCTATGCTCAGGTGATGCCATAGATTAAGTGTTGTGCCTGGTTTGTTGCTGTTGGGGCAGATATGAATACCATTGGAAACTTGCAGAGGCAGAAAAGAATGTGCTGAGGACTCACACAACTGCAGTGTCCTCCCGAATGCTTTACAAGATTGGCCAGGAAGGTTTCAGGCCAGTCAAGTATTTCTCCATTGATCGGGTGTACCGCAATGAAGCCATCGATCGTACACATCTGGCTGAGTTTCACCAAATCGAAGGTGTGACAAATTGCATTTACGGTTTGCTGTTGTCACTGATAGCAAGTACAACTCCAGTATGGGTGTTTTGTGATTTTCTGTCCGAAACAATGTTTGTAGAATGTGTTCTGTGCTCATTGCATACTTCCGCGTATAGATATGGCAAAGGCTCGACCATAATGCAATGTTTGGATAAACACCTGTTTGTGTGAACATGTGGCGGCGCCTTTGCTATCCATTGATCTGGTATCGCTGCCAGTGACATCTGTCAGAAATTGCATATCAGCATTAGCTTGAGGGTCAACACAGTATCAATCAACAATTGGAGTGAACAGGGTCAGAGTAGTTGATATTCGTTGCTGCAAAAAGCCGTTTTGCACACTCCAAGAGAGACAGTGAGTGGCATTCAAAACAAGTGGTAGTAGCCATGCACATTGTCCATGTGCCGATTTCTTTTGGTTGTGCATGGAGCCAAAGGAAAGTGTTCTGTGCATTGTTGGCAGAGCGATGCTCTAGCTGGGAGCCTGTTTGCTGGTTTCAGCTTTTCATTGTCAGGGTCCTGTGGCCACCCGTCCACCAAGTTCAGAGAAATGTAACTGGTCTCTCCATTTACCCCTTGTTTGGTCCTGTGTGGCTGTGGTGCTTGTGCCAGTGGTATGAATTTGCAGTATCTGAATTGGAATATAATGTTGCTGTGTTATTTCCATGGTGAACGTCTATTTGCTCTGGTGTCAATGATGAATGTTTATGGTGAACTGCAGGCCTGGTTTGTGACAAGGGACTCTCCCTTGGTGACTTGATTGGCACCTTGCACCAGTTCTTCACTAGACTGGGGCTGAAACAGATACGCTTCAAGCCTGCATACAATCCATACACAGAGCCGAGTATGGAGATTTTTAGGTGTGACGGAAGCCTATTGGGGGTGGGAGCTTGCTGTTATCTCGGCAAGTATGAGGCTTGCTGCTGTGCCGGGAAGGGTTTCTAGTGTCCTGGTCATCAGGGATCAACTCGTGGCTGCAAGTGTTACATTGCTGTTTGCATCAAGACACTGATCTCAACAACTCGCAAGTTTTGTTCTGTGCTTCCCTTGCTGCTGTTGTTGAAGCGCTTCGACAGTTCAACAGACAATGGTTTGTGCACCATGCTGGCAATTTGGTGGAGTCTCAGTCAACATCCTTTGCTCTGCTCATATAGGGCGCTGAAAGCAAGCAGTTTGTGCCTGCTCCCTCGTGTCGATGCAAATTTGTCTGAAGAAATCCAATAATTATGGATGCCACTCAATGATGCCCTGCGGCACACCACCTGGCCAGGGTCATAATTCATGCATCCGCTTATGCATTGATGGCGAAAGTAAAGCCTTAGAACGCAGCAGACAGTACTCAGGTCACTGAGATGATGTTTTTCCTGCTTTGATTCGAGCAGCTACTCTGAACAGCTGGGCAAATGGATCGAGGTTGGAAATTCCGGCATGTTCCGTCCTGAGATGCTTCGGCCCATGGGGCTGCCTGAGGATGTCAGCGTCATTGCCTGGGGCCTGAGCCTTGAGCGGCCCACGATGATTCTTTACGGAATTGACAACATTCGGGACCTGTTCGGACATGGCGTGAGTTTTCTGGCGTTGTCTCCCTTTTTGTGTACCTTTTTTGTGCAATTGTGTGGAGTGGCAACAACTTCATGCCCCTACCTGCCTATCCATGTGTCCTGTTTGATGATGCGCCATGCACACTGCTGCGCTTGCCAGACCAATGGGGCCAATGCTGTGTTTGAAGCGTTTCGCAGGGCTCGCATTTGTGTTGCCCATTTCGCTGCGCATTGCATTCTCCACTATGGCACAGGGGGATGCGTTTGCATGTGCGTTCACTTGTAGATTGTAGTTCCTGTCGATTCCGTTGTCAGTGGTGCAACAGAATCCGGTGTGTCATGTGCCAGGTGAGCCTCGAAACCGTGAAGAAGAACCCGATATGCCGCCTGGGGCTCTGAGGGCAATTGATAGTTGGTAGACATAGCTGTGAAGGATTGGGCGCGAAGGCGCGGCTGCCTATGTGTCCTCACCTGTGCATACGATGTGGCAACCCAGGTACGAATGTCTGGGACCAGCAAACGACGTGACGTGCTAGCAGGCGGACTCGCTGGCATGGCAATTGTTTTCGCAGTGATGGGATCGTGGAGGAGCAGCCGCTGGCGTCCTCGTGGCGCTGTTTGAGACCACGGACGCCTGGTGTGCGCTTGTAGGTGCTGTTGAAGGAATGTGCCTGCGGGGAATGCGCCGAGGCCTGTGCCAGCGTCGTGCCAGCGCATCTGCAGACATTCCTTTTGTGGTGTCGATTCTGGTGTAACTGCAGGTGGGAGAATTTCACCGCAGTGCTGCAAGCACTCAGCTTGGCCAGCCCGTTCTGGGGTGTGCTCTGAATCTGAAGCTGGTCGGAACTTACAAGTGGGGTGCGGTGGCGTGAGTGCTGTCTACCTTGTCGAATAGGGCGTGATCGTATGCCGCCTGGCTTGTTCATTCATAATTCTTGTAGTTACCAAGCGCAATATGCTTCCAGACACTCGCTGAGCGGGCACAGTGTCGCCCAGAATGTGACCCAAAATGCTGGTCCAAGGACCCAGGGTCGGTGCGGGGACGAGAGCGTCCCAATGGACAGAATGTAGCAGCAGTCCGGGCTTAAGAAATACACAAAGAACAATTGCAAATTGTTTGCAACGAAGCTGGCTAAAATTACATGATTTTGCGGAAGACACATGAGGCTTATGTCGCTTAGCGAGCTGAAATCCTCGATTCATCAGATGAGAGATGACCCCAGCACCAAAACGAACAACATACCGTCGATCCTTAATCCACTATTGCCCGTTATGTTTCAGTTCCGAATGTGGAGACCTCCATCGTGATCTGTCGCGAAGTCAGGGAGGTAATTTCGTTTTTGCACGTTTCAATTTGTCGGTTTCTTGGGTTTACATCAGTTTGGAGTTTTGAGTGGCATACCCTCATCACCTTCATGACCTTCATATCTGGAAATAGTGGGTATCGGGCAAGCCTCCTGAAATCGGCACTGCGTTGTCTGTGCACACAAGAAGCAACAGCTATTTTGTTTCCATAACTTGATGAAATGGCACATTTTCCTTGTTCTCGCAGTTTTGGCGCACTCAGGCAGTTCCACCTCGTGAAACGTGCACAAACTTCTGCAACCTGCTCTGGCACTTCATAGCATGACCCAATTGGCTGATCAATGCTAAGCAGCCAGAACTACCACTCATTCTATCTTGAAGAACGAGCGTTTGGCATGCGGCTTTCTGGAAGCGGCCAGCTCCACTGACGTTCCTAAAATGAAACAAACAACCAAAAAACGCAAGGGTTTTCGCAAAGAAATGCCAAAGAGAAAATTACAGCGGGTGGTCGAAGTCGCCTTGAGCGTGGAGTACGCGTCGAGCAATGCTGACTGCATCCTGAACAGACCGTAGAACCGGCCTGCAGGCGAGTGCGACGCTCGCGATGGACTCACGTGATGGGCGTACGTCGCGATGCTCGTGATGAACGCGCACGGTGAGCACACGATACTCGTGATGGAACACGTGATGCACATACGCATGCTCTTGGTGCGCTGAACACTCGTCAGCACCAAGAGCGCTCCTGAGCGCGTGAGAGCAGGCGGCAGCGGCGTTCGCAGGCAGCGGCGTCGGCATACTCTCGATGGGCCACTTCCTTTCCAAGTCCAAGAAAAACAAGCCGTTCTCATGGCCGCCGGAGGGGAACACCCTGCCCATGGCGACCTTCGCGGGGGGCTGCTTCTGGGGCCTGCAGCTGGCGTACCAGAGGGTGCCCGGTGTGGTGGAGACCTGTGTCGGCTACAGCGGCGGCACCGCTGACAACCCCTCGTACAATGAGGTCTGCTCCGGCAGCACGGGCCACGCGGAAGCGGTGCAGATGACGTACGATCCCGAGAAGGTGGGGCCCGCTTGCTTTCCCTACACTTTTGGCAAACGAGCATCTTGGCGTACGAGTTTGTCGCGAATCTCCAGTGTGGCACGCTCCTCTCGGACCTCATCGGATCCAGGCGCCCATGACGGCAATCCCGTTGCCATGTTTGTACGGTTGTTGCTGGGTCTCTTGCGAGGATCTTTGTTGTGCGCGCGCGGGGGTGTTCGGCTCCTGGGCTTGAGGCTCGTGGCCCAGTTAACGTTGGACCTGCATCAGCGCACAGCGTTGCACGCTTGCAAGATCCTGTGCTAGTTTTGCAGTGGCTGTGTTGCGGTCGCTGCTGGCCTCACGAACACACTGGCACCTTGACTCTGCACCTGTCGTGTGTTGGTCGATTCCAATACGATTTGGCCACCATGTGTGCTTGCATGGCTTGGCATTGGTGCCACGAACCTCTTTGGATCTACTCACGTGGTGGCAGGCAAGATAGGTTGGCCTGTTAAATTGCTTCAGCAAGAAACTGCAGTGGTGTTTTGCCTCTGTGAAGTATCAGAGCCAACATGTGAAGTTGCTGCATGACCGTTCATAAAACCACAGGAGCAACGATGAAAGAAATCGAGGCTTTGCCAGTCTCTTGCCAATGTGAAATGTTGTTCCTATCGTCAATCCCGACGGACAACTTCAAGCTCTGGCCAACAGCCCAAACAGTGGTGAGCAGCGAACATGAACTGTGTTGTGCCTGGTAGGGACTCTTGGAGAAAATGGTACTGCGTGAAACGTTTCGGGGAAGGAACTCGTACTTGTTCCTGTATTTATGACTATGCCTCAGGAAATGCTTCCTGCTTGGGCCTTTGCCTATGATTGCCTTTTGAACCATCAGCATTAAACCAATTCCACACCCATGCTGTCAGTCATTTATGCAACCACCTATGTGGACCTTCCATCCTATCCCCTGCAGACTGTGTTTCATATGCGTTTTCTGGAACTTTGGCATTTGCTTGTGGCGACAACCTGGCCACTGGAGCATGCCACCAGGTTGGGAAAAGTACCCTGAGTCACTTCCAGCTTTCAAGGAAAAATGCCTTCCTTGGGTTGGTAGCACAGTGGGTCTGATGCCTATTGCCTCTGGCTGTTCCACAAGGTGACGTACGATCGGCTGTGCGAGCTGTTCTTCTCCCGAATCGATGCTTATGCAAAGAACCGTCAGGGAAACGACGTGGGCACGCAGTACCGCACAGGCATCTACACCCACACCAAGGAGCAAGCAAAAATCGCAGAGTCGCATTGGCCATCTGGCTGTGCTGTGGAGATAAAAGAGTTTGACAAGTTCTGGCCTGCAGAGGTGGAGCATCAGAGGTACCTTGAGAGAGGTGGCAGATTTGGTAGGAAGCAGAATGCCGCCAAGATGTGCAATGATCCGATTCGTTGTTATGGTTAATCCCAGAGGTTGGCATCAAGATTATGGCCTCGACATTGCAGGTTTGGAAGGAAGCAGAATGCTGCTCAGATGTGCAGCGAAACGATTGGCTGTTGCGGCTGGGCCCAGGGCGGATCATCGCGAATACGGTACCTGTGTGGAGTGCGATGGACTGTTTGCTTTCTAAAGGCGGCCTGTTGTGGGGATTTCAGGTCCTTGTACAGTGTTCTCACGTTCGTGATTCGTCTTGATGACACAGTTTCTGGTCCCCAGTTCTGTCACTCTCACAGCGCCGTTTTGCATTCACTGTGGGAAACAAAAATGGCGTCAGCCTTGGGGACGAATCGACTGGTTTGTTTAGCCCCAATGAAAGGGTGGGTTGCTGACTTTCAGTAACTCTAGGTGGTTTTCAACGGGGCAACATGAGTTAGTCTTCATGCTGTTCTTGTCATTGTTTATGGACTTTCCCCTGCACTGTGACTTGAATTCGGAGCACTTGCGCTGGGGGGTGACACTTTTTGGAAACAAACATTTTTATTACAATAACGTCTGACATCGGCCCCCATGTTTGAACCCGTTCCACCTGGCACATCACCGCCCTGCCAATGATGCACGCCAACGGGCAAACGTGATCACTCCCTTGTTGGCGAAACTGGCCTCCTGTGGTGGGGCAAGGAAGGTGCAGCAATCATGCGAATGCACCTTGGGCACTTGACTTCAGACCTGCCATGGGCCATGCTGGGTGGAGACCTCCAAAATTGAAATGTTATACACTCTGCCCTTGTGTATTTGATTAACGGAAAAACACGCCCAACCAAGCACGCTTGAGCCTCGCTCCCGCTCCCCTCGCACCCCTCTGCTTCTGGCACCTAACCGGACCCAAACCAGCGATCTACCCTTCCCCTAACCGCCAAAAGCACGACCGCCAGCCGCCGCAAATTGAACCCCCGAGCGCCACAAAACGACCCAGGCCATTCGACCCACAGCAGCTCGGCGGGTGCCAGCGTAACTGTCCCCTAGGCACCCCTCCTGCCTCCCTCTCAAAGCTTCCCCTCCCGCCCATCCCCGCCTCAAGTGTTGTAATCACTCCTCGTCTCCGATTCCGGCGCACCCGCCTCCCCCGCGCTCTCCTCCCCTTCCATGTCCATCGACTCGTACTCGTCCGTCACGCTGGACGAGTCCGCTGTGTTGAGCGACACCGAGAACAGCAGCGGCTCCCAGATCGGTCCCCGGGGCCCGACAGCCACCGCCTGGCTCCTCCCCCTGTTGCCCTCGACATACCGCCGAACGCCGTCCTCGCCCCCCACCCACCCCATGTTGACGATCAGCCCAAGGGAGGACACCGACATTGCGACGTAGCCCGCCATGCTCAAATCATCAGAGGCGTCCCCGGCCTGCGTGCCGTAGTGCCTGAACTGATCCGCGAAGAACATGGGGTGGGATGCCGCCACGGCCAGCACCGCCACCCACGCCGATCGCCAGGTGGGCGGGAAGTCGATCGCCAGGCTGAAGGCCACGGCCAGGAGCGCGAGGCCCTCCAGGGCGAAGCGCCACCAGAAGAAGTTGAGCAAGTCGCAGGCTGTCCCATCCGCGTCGTAGTCAGCGTACTGGCACCGCGCAGCGTAGCCCCTGTGCACGCCCACCATGGCCAGAACCCATCCGCAGCATCCCGCGAGCACCAGGATGCCCCGTATGGACAGCAGAATTGGTTGACGGGCAAAGCTGGCGCGCCGGCAGGGGGCGGCACTCTGCAGACCCGTGGCCAGGATGAGGGAGAAGTTGATCACGGCCAGGAGCAGCACGCCGGAGAAGGTCAGGCGCGTCTCGGGCGAGTAGGCGGGCGCGAGGGAGTGGGTGTAGAGGGTGAGGTGGCCGAGCGGCGCGGCCAGCAGCGCGGTGGTGGCGGGCGCGAACGCGGCCCTCGAGGCGCCGCACAGCGCCACGACGGCCGCCCAGCCCAGCGCCAGGGCCTCCAGCGCCAGCAGCCACCACAGTAGGCCGAACGCGCCGCAGTCCCAGCCGGGCGCCGAGCACAGGCGCCGGGCGCCACCCAGCGTGGCCATCCACGCCAGCAGGCCGAACACGGCCACCGCCACCGTGCAGCGCGACGCCCACCTCGCCAGCCGCGCACCTCCCTCCCCCCCCGCCCCGCCTCCCCGCCGCCCAACGGCCACGATCAGGATCGCGTTCCCGGCCGTCATCATCCCGAACCCCGCCGCCGCCACGCCGTGGCCGAACGCCCGGCTCTCCCGCGCGAAGTAGTTCGTTGTGTCCTGGCCCACCATGACTCCCAGCGCCAGCAATCCCGGGCCAGACACCCCGAGCACGTGGCCCCTCCCAGCCAGCTCCGCCAGCCCCAGCCCCGACAAGATCATCACCTCCATGGCCCAGAACCACCACCAGAGGTCGAACCGCCCGCAGGGGTTAAGGGAGGGGTCCGCATCTTGGCAGGCCTCGCGCAGGCTGGACAGGCCGCCCGCGGCCAGGCCGCAGCCCATGGCCGCCACGCCCGCGCCGGCCACCTTGAGCAGCTGCGCGGCCGTGGGACTGTTGGCCATGGCGCCGGGGCCGCCCTCCGCGAGCCAGGGCGGGGGGGGGGGGACGCCCCTGACGTCTGCGGGACGTGGCGGAATCGGGGCGGCTTTGGGGCTGCTAGGACCCAAGGGTTGGGAGGGATGAGGAAACTATCCCAGTTACGGAGAAGCGCTGGCCGCTACCTGCGCTGTTGGACTGCTGTGTTCTGCTCCTCAACATATTAGGTTGGGCCCTAGCATCTAGCTTGTCGGAAACAGAGTGAAATCCGACTGTGTGCTGTTGCGTCCCCTCCTCGGTACTTGCTCAAAAGGCGTTCCTCGCTGTGTCCATTGTGATTTTGCTTTGGGGGGCGTCCAGCTTCAGTGGCCGAAGACGTGCCAACGCTCAAACGCTTGTTCACCCCGTTTACTCCAGTGTCTTACATATTTTGCAGCATAGAAGAACAAGGCGTCACACACTTGCTTAGCATGAATGCCCGCCACAACGCACTGCATCTGGCTTCCCACGGCCGGCGCCCAAATCCACCTCCGCGGCTTTCATCAGCGTTGGCCATACGCGTCCAAGTTAAGACAGGACCAATTGCACGGAGCTGTATTGTAGCCGAGATTGGACCAGTTGCTGCTCATCTGGGAATGAATCTAACATGTCAATATGCGTGCGTGTGCCTGGAGGCGTGTCTGGGCCCCAGACTCTGGGCACAATCCCAACGCGGCGACCATTTGTTTAATAGATTCTAGCTGTTGCACAATCATTTTTCGGGTGGCACCGATCCAATCCCATTCTGACCATTATGTTCCCTTAGGTGCCCTTGGACCTGAAGGATTTCTGGCTGCTGACACGCAGCGCACGTTCACATTCTTGCAACCATTGGCAGCCAAACGAATCATCTTCCTTTTGCAGTTTCACGACACTCAGGCGCAGCATTGCCGTACTTGGACCAGGGCTCAGACAGCCGTATCAATGGCAGACCCCAGATGGTGGCAAGCCGCTAAAGTCCTCGTGCTGCTGCCTGTTTGTGCGAAGAGTGCAATGCTCCCATGGAGCACCCCCGCAGCAACAGATATCAGGTGTGCTTCTCCTTGTTTGATCTGCTGTTCGATCACTGCTGCCGCCTGTGCGGTCACTGTTCACCAACGCCCTGTAGGTATCATCCCCGGATAACTGACGCCCCACGACACCCTGCGCCTAAACGGTGCGGAGTGCTGCGGTATGGAGTGTACTCAGGCACTGTGTGTGCTCGAAGCTTTGCCTGCAAGCTCTCAAGTTCCCTGCAACAGTGCCAGGTGCATCAACAGCAAAGTCGAATTGGGTTGGGAATCCTAACTTGGAAGGCCCTGAAAAAGTGAAGAAGATTTCCTACATGTGGTGTTACGACAAAACTGTGCATGTCACCATCCATGCTATAACAGCAAAGCATGACCCAACAGAATGTATCTTGGCCATGTCCAGGCCTGTCCATGTGTCGCCCCATTACCCCCCCCAATCTGAAAGTACAACTCTCTGTGAAAGTGAGCATCTTGACAACAAGCAGATGATTCTACCAGGTAGAAATGGTGCTGCTGATTTGAGGGACGCCCCACAGACAAGAGTACAGAATGCAACAGTAGCGACTGGAGGAATACTGACTGCAGGTGGTGAGGATGAGTACCACAAAAAACTTTGAGCCATTAGGTGCAAGTAGACACTTTGGATTGATGCAAAACATGCCGGTGCTTGGTGGTGACTGGTACTGTGTACCTTGCTGAAACAGCTTTAAGAAAAGCGCTTTGTGCCAATGGAACACATGATTGCAGCGCCAGCACCTTACATTGTTGAACATTGTACAGCTCTTGTCGTCCAGGAGTTGGCCCATTTCTGGCAGGCCATTGCCTGAAACTTTTCTGCAGCATGCTATGTTGCAAGTGCTGATGGACAGCTTAACAGACTCACGAGGAACATCAAGTAAGCTGCGTGCGTGGTAAATATCCACTGCCATGGAATCACCATAAATCATACCCTCTGGGCGTAGCTCCAGCTGCAAGGCCTCGCTCCACTATGCCTTCAGCAACCGGTGCCTTCCCTGCAGGCCAAGGCAAAATAGTTGTCATCATGAAAACCAACCAGAACGATGTTGTGCGTCTACTCACATACTGCTTCGACTCATATTTAGTGTTATCGTCAATGATCGCCACAACCCTTCACTGCTCTCCACAGCTCTCTGTGGGCAGTATTACAGCCACGCTTCTGCATTGCATGTGGAAGCTGTACTGTTCAACAGAAAACGCTGGAATAGAGTCATGGTTAAGACACACAGCAGAAATGGATGTCTGCCACTGCCGCAAGCCATTCAGTGACCTCGGCATTTTGCAGATTGGCCCCACCAACTGGCACTGGCAACATTGTGGCTTACTGATGAAATACAGAGAGTTATTTCCAGTTGACAACAATGCAGGTATCTGAACAGGGCTCCAACGGACCTGTGCCTGAAGAGTATACCATCGTGGCCCACTCCACATACAACCGTGCATTCTTTTGGCCAATGCGCAACATCTCCATCGAACAAAAGGTCGCGCCAGCACTTTCTATATCACCAGCAAGCCTGCAGCACAGAACAGTGAATTCATGCATCTAACTGCTGGGTACCCTGGACAACACTCCCACAGCTAATAGGGCAAGCCAACTTGAGGGGCACATGCCTATCGACGCGCATCATTCCTGGGATTTGTATGTGCGGACTACATCTGTTATTCATGACGGTGGCAATCCACACCTGCCAATCAAACTGCATCGTAATGCCTGCATACAGACTTGAAAGGGGTGCCCTCAGCAAACCTCAACCCAGACTGCAACAGTGTTTCTTCTGTTTTTCCTTCTATATATCTTGCACCCTTACCAGTGCCGCCTTGCCAGACCCAGCCACAATTTGAAGAATGCCACATCTTCGAAGTGGCCCTCACGTGGCACGACGACTACTGCCCTCGTGTACAGGCTTGTAATTGTGGGGCCCCTGTAGACAGTGTTCTCACAGTCCTCCCCCGAGCGCTCCTGTGCACCCTCCAAAGCTTCCTCATGGGCAATGAAGTCCATCCACGCCTTTGGGTTGGTGGGGTCCTGAAAGATCCTGTCCTTCAGCTCCAGGCGCTGAGGGTGCTCAGATGCATGTCTGCGTGCATGCACATATTGGTCCAGGCAGCCATCCCACTGTCTTCTCTTCTCCTGCAGTGCAAAAACTTCAGAGGATCCTTTCAGTGCATCGCAGGTGCATCGATATCCTCTATTCACAGCGGTGAACGGAAACATAGGAGTCACAGACATCCAAGTGAAGTGCACCGCATCGCACAAAAGTGCACGATGGCTCCAAAGGGGCCAAATTTGCAGGAAGCCATGGATTCCAGCAGATCAGCACACAGATGAGAACAGATTGGAAGGGAAAGTTGATCTGGCGTGGTTCAGCATCTGCATAGTGAACTGACTGCATCGACTGCACTTGCAGAAAGTGACAAAAGTGTTGCCATTGCATTTTCCAAGACGATGGTGATGCTCATCAGCCTGCCACAGCTATGTGAGGCCCCCAGTGCATTTCCAACCTGTTATAACTAAACGGTCCCATGGGCAAAAGGACCTGGAGCAGTAGGTTGGCACTGAATCACAGGCCAGCTACGATGAAGACAGCATCAGCGATTTTCTCGTAGATGAAGAGCAGTTAGTTGTGCGCCTTTTGCCCCCGCGGAATTGCGTTTGCAAAAATTGGCAAGCATCACCTTCTCAGCAGGCGTCACCAGTGCCATCCTTTGATATTTCCTTGACTCACAAAACCTCGCATAATTGGCGTTGGCTCTGTTTTGCATGGCCTCTAGTCTCTGCTGAAGCTCCAACAGCGTTGTCTGGACTTCTGGACGCCGCTTCAAACCACCACTGAAGGGCTGCATGGTTTGGAACTCATGCTGTGCCCCGTCTGGCATGGCTTTGCACGTCTCAACCTTGACAGAATCAGCGGAACGTTTTTCATTCTCTGCCAAACTTGGCTCCCTGCCTGTTAATGGGTCGTCTGGTGACGGCACATCCAGACAACCACCTGCATCGGTGGCACAAGGGCCCTCGACATTCATGTCTTCGACTACAACAGAATCAGCAGAATCCTTTTCATGCTCTGCTAAACTTGGCTCCCTGCCTGTTATTGGGCTGTCTGGTGATGGCACATCCAGGCAACCAGCTGCATCGGTGGCACAAGGGGCCTCGACATTCGTGTTGTGGACCATGGTAGAATCAGCAGAATGCTTTTCATCCTCTGCCAAAGTTGGCCCCCTGCCTGTTGGTGGGTTGTCAGGTGCTGGCACTTCTTGACAACCACCTGCATCGGTGGCATGCGAGGCATCGATATTCAGGTCTTCAACATTGATAGAATCACAAGCATGGTTTTCACACTCTGCCAAACCTGGCTCCCTGCCTGCTGGTGAGTTGTCAGGTGACGGTGCATCTTGACAATCACATGCATCATCAGGACATGGTGCCTTGGCATTCAGGTCAACAGCTGCAATGGAGGGTGCAGAGGCCATGGGGGTGGTGTGCGGTTTGTCTCCAACTCTAGAATCCTCCTGGTCATTGCCACCGTGCTCCCCAGTCTTTTCAGTGGGTTGCAGCACAGGCGTCTGGTCCGGTCCTGTGGATTCAGTAAACATGGCATCAGTTGTCCTTCCCAGCAAATAGCCACTGCACAGCCATGGACTTCCTTTTTGAATCGCCTCCCTCACATGCAGTCAAGTAATGCAGCCCACAGTCCTTCCAGCAGGCTACTTGCTTCAAGACGAGCAAAGGACATCGCAAAGAACTACTAGTATGAAGAATGTCCAGCAAAATAAACAGAAACACACACAGTAGATATATGCACATGTTGTCAATTGTTGACAGGTGTTCTCGCTGTCTAGAGTCCACACCTGTCTGCGGACCTCTGATCAGCATGGTGTCTTCAGCACCAGGCAGGAATCCCCATTTGTTCGCAGGACCCAGAAGCATGGTGTCCTGTTCACCAGGAGCAAAACCCCATCTGCTCTCTGCACACAGCCGATCCTTGTCTCCAGGACTGCCTGCATGCACAGAGTGGGGGCAAGGGTTGAACAAGTGGCAGGCTTGTCTAAAAGCTCATCAGGTAATTGAAATTCACGTGACAAGGTGTCTCAACTTTGAAGGCTGCAGCAATCATGGTGCAGTGCAATGTGACAAATTGACACATATCTTTGGGCAGTTCCTGTCCCCCATTTAGCTGTACACAGGCGTTCCTATACGATGAGCAAAAAATGGATCACCCCAAAGTATGAAAGTCCATTTTTGGCCATCTGCTGCGGCGGTAATCAAGAATCCTGAATTCACAGGTTGCAGGGTGGTGTTTGCTTATATGTGACACAAGGGAATAATGATGGCAAGTGAAACGAGGCCACGCGATTTTCCATCTTTCCATTTTCCATGTGCGATTATACATAGTGTCACCAACACCATGTGCATGCGCGATTATAAATATAGTCATTAACACCATGCACGTTGCCACCATGTACCTTTGGTAACCAATTCCGCTGTTTCGTCAATGGCATGTAGCTGGCCATCAAGATCGCTGAGATTCCGGCAGGTGACAGTCTGATTGCCTGCGCAAAAATCATCAGTCACCAAAAAATATCTTCTACCATGGACAACAAGCCGAACCTTGGAACCCACCCTATTTCAAGGATCTGTAAGATTTTCTTCCACACAATAGAAAGGTGTTGACCAAGTCCCTGGTTGCAATAGGAGTTGCACAAATCTAACAAGAGCATGCATCAGGCATCAATCGTGTTTTAACTTGTGTCCAAGGTAGAGGGGCACATGGGAACATATGTGAGGGTGCTTACCATCCATGCCTGCAGCCTTTGCCATTGGTCCTTCGAATCCTGGCACGTCTGACAAGCGTGGAACATCTTCTTCTGTGACATCGCCAACATCTGGACTGTCCACCTCTGCCAGTCCTTTCATGGACAGTTCTTCACCAGCGAAATGAGACAGATCTTCTGTGCCTTCCGCCTGCTCGTGCTCTCCTGCCTGCTGCTCCATTTCTTCTGTGCAGTCATGCCATGCATCTGGGGAGTCTTGCAGCCCAGCGCAGGGCACCTCAATGCCTTCAGTGGGTGCAATTGAGACTCGCGATTGATTACCTGAATGCAACAGGGTAATCAAAGAGAGGAATATGCCAATTTCGGTTCCACCTATGTGAAACGAAGGCGCAACATGATGCAGCTCCTAGAATTTGTCCACAGTGAGTCCACAATGAGCGGATATATGGGTTGTGTTTTTCACAACAGTGGTGCTCAACAGAAACATGCACAGCCGGACGCTGCATCTCTCTGCGTTCTTCATTCGATACAAATGCTTGGCTCAGTTGCGGTGCAAGTGGACATCCCTGCCACAGCCACGTCACCCCCGTCGATCACGCAAAGCAAGCGATGCAGAGGGGGTGAAGGCAAGCAGTCGGGCACTGCGCCCAAAGTGAAGGTCGGCACCCAGCGTCACCTGAACCTCCAGCCGAGTCAGTGGCGTCCGCACTCCTCCTTTCCATTTGCTCGGCCCCCTGCGGAGCAGCAGCGCGTCACTGTCGATCGACACCACAGTTCCGCCACAGGGCCACGGTCCACAGAGAGCGTGTCTATCAATCAGTTCTGTGTACCAGACAGGACGGCAGCCAGGACGCTGCGGTCACACAGGAGCCTTCCCCTGTTCCCAAGAAGGTATTATTCGAGCGACGTCCGGCGTCATGCCGCGCAGATACAGCAGGTCGAGTGGTTGCAGCCGTGCCCTGAGCACATTCAGGCCCGGAAGCAACAAGGCCACGTCGGCAGACACAGCAGACGCGGCGGTCTCTTTGCGCAGATGATGCAGCGCGCAAATTGGACCATTGCGCAAAACGCGCCCGTCCGCTGGCCGATCTTCTGCCCCCGCCGTCTTTCGGCCGTGCACGGCTCGCCCACACCTCCATTGCGTCCACAGCCGCCGGCTCACCTCCAGCGCGTCCACCACCTCGCTCACCGACTTCAGCGCTGACGTACGAGACCGAGTGCGCGCCCCGATGGGCAGCAGGTCCAGGATGCGGGTCGGGCTGAACAGGGACCGCGACGCGGATCCCGGGGCGGTCTTGCACGTGGAGGGTGTCCCGCGCCTGGGCCTCCTCGGAGGGGTCTGCCACGAAAATGGCGCAGGGGGGTCACATGCTACAAGTTATTTAACTCCAAGGAGGCCAGCGCGGGCGAAGGCATTCTGTGCGAGCTTTGAGAGTCAATTGCATTACCACGTCGAGATCTGTGAGGGGCTCCGCGGAGGCGGCGGTTTTCCGCCGGGAAGTTCTCCTGCTGCTGCGGCGAGGCGTTCTCGCGGGCTGGGGAGAGGGCGGCAGGCTGCCGTCCTTGGAGGGCGACGCCATCGGGACCACCGTGGGCGGGCAGTGCGAGACAAGGGCGGGCCACTGTCAAGAGGGTGGTTGCCAGAAACTGCAGCCCGCCCAAAATGCGACTGAGGGGAGGTGCCATCCGATCCTAATTAGAGCCGTCCATCTTTTTGTCAAATCGTGGTTTGTTCGTTTGGTACTTGTAGTCACTGCTTCCCCCGGCATAAAATTACTGGCTGCACCAAATCGGTGACTGCTTGCACCAAGTCACGTGCACATCATGTCCAACTTCGTCCAAACTAACCTAACCTAAACCCTAAACCCTAAACCCCAAACCTAAACCTGTCCTGACCCTAACCCTAACCCTAAAACTCACCCTAAAACTAAACCTAACCCTAAAATTGAGGTTAGGACAAAGTGTGCACGTGACTTGGTGCAAGCAGTCACCGATTTGGTGCAGGCAGTAATATTATTTCGCTTGTCCCCACACACACACAGAGGCTGACTGCACATCGAGCCTGCAGTTTCAGCAAATGCCTGCAGCCTTGATGTGCGCAGTTTCCTGAATCCAAATCAGTACACACAACATATGAAGGTGCGGTGTTGGGTGCGGTGTGTGCTGGTCGTGCACAGGCGCCTTGGCATAGTGCGTCACCTGCAAAGTGCCCGTTTGGAATATTTCCCGGAGCTGTGGTCGGGTGCTTTCCAAGCAGCTGTCCTCTCGATTCCCCGCAGATGCAAAACCCACTGCCCCGACCTCGTCACTTTTCCACCATTCCACGTTGCTTGCTGTTCCTTTTTTCTGAAATAATTCCAGAGCACCTCCCAGTTCCGAGCTATTTTGCTTCGCTGGGCCAACTGGAAGGCCATCCATCGGCTGGGCCCACTTGCCTTCTTCAACCCTGCCAAACACACAACAGGGCTTGGTGGCCGTCGCACAAAATGCTGAATGGTCCCAGTGCACATTGCATATGGACCTAACTGCCTGGCAGAACGTAGCCAGATAGATGCAGGGGCTATGACTGCTATCATCCGACAAGTGTCCTTCAGGGTGATTTCGATTGCCGTTCAACCCATCAAGTAATGGATTCACAGAGAACAAAGGTGGGAAATGGTGGACATCCCTGTCCTGAGGAAGATATGACCCCCTTTTCTGTGTGGGGAAAGTGCTGCAGAAGCCGCTGGAGGCATCACGGTGCAACTTGAGCTGCGCAGGGGTGACAATGATTACCATACTTTCAATAGGACAACGTGTAAGCAGCAATTCAAAGGCGCCCTGGATGCCTTGGGGGGGACAAAGTGTGAACAGCCACTGCCATGCATCACCACAATGTGGTTTCTCCATACTGCCTCAGCGAACGGCAAGAGCTGGATTGACACAAGAGCTCCATCGGTGTATGGGCTAATGTACAGCGCTGTGCCACAGCAGTTTTCTGTTTGCCCAGGATGAACAACCATTACCAGGAATGTGCATACTGCAACCAGGCGGCTGATCGGACATTTCTGTTCCATGGCTGTGGGGCTATTCACTGATGCACTGTATATATTCTGCACAACTCTCGTGGAAACATATGCAGCACATCTGCCATCTGCTTTGAATACGTCAATGTGTTCATGTTGCTCCCACACAATGACATTTGGACTCACTGTGCAGAAATCTGCGAGAATTCCTCCACGTCACCTGCCCAGGACTCAACGCACATATGGACTTAGTGGGCAATCCGATGGACAAAGGCACTTTGTTTCTGATGTGTCCAGGATTGAATTCCATGGAATGTCGTCAGGAACATGGCTGACTATGGAGAAAGCAAATAATGGAGGCTGCAGGTAGGGGGGACTGTGGTTGCCAGCATGCAGCAAACAACAGAGTAGATATGGCTTCCGCCATGAAGTGCACCCAAATCTGATGGCAGCATTTGTGTGCCAGGACAGCCAGTCCCCATGCAACAACCTTGGCAAGGCGGTCCCCAGTTCAAAGCGTTCATGCCACTGCATGCACCGATTCGCCTGGGGCGTCCTTCTTCCACACATTTAGAATGTTGCCATTTTGGCGATTGCTGTGGATTCACACGTTTTCCAACTCTATAATTTGTCTTGTATAGCCTTGTATTGTATGCTTGGAGTTTACGAGGTAATATCTTAGTCGCGATTCTCGCTGCCCCCCCTGCGCGGATGGGGCAACAATCACCCTTCCACGGCGAGCGGAATTCCTTGACAGTGGCCGCCAGCCTCAGCTTGTTCCTCCGCGTGCGCACACCGGACGCAATCATATAAAGATGCAGACTTCGCCCAGTATCGACATCGACATTGCACAAAGTCCGCTCAACCACGTGCGCACCGGAAGACGTCCGACAGGAAACGCGCTCCTTCCGTTCGTAGGGCCCCTGCAGGCAAAAGTCCCTCCAGCGGAGAGTTTTCCTTTCCTTTTCCGCCCTTTTCGCCCCCTCGCCGCGTCCCTGCTAGCTTCCATTCGCCCCTTCGATCGATGGATGCGCTTGAGGTTAGCTGACGGTCATTCCCGGGAGGCCCATCTGCCTGGCCGGGCGCGTCCGGCCACTCGCGCCCCTTGGCCTGCCGTCTCCTCAACGGTCGCTTGGACGGCCGACGCTGGAGCCAATCTGACAGGAGGCCGGCCATTAGATTGTCAGACGTGGGAGCGAAGTGGTCAGCAGTGCTCTGACCACGCCTTCCTTGGACATTGGATGCGGAGAGAGGCAAAAACTTGGACCGTGGGGGGGGGGGCGTACCATCCACGTCCATGCTGCACGGGGTGGAGCGCCGGCTGAACGCGGAGGACCCTGAACGCAGGCCAAGGTGCGTGTTGGGAGGAGTTCGAAGGCGCACGAGCAGTGCGCAGAAGACGGAATCCTGCCAGAAACAACGGGGTAGTGGGTTTGGGGGTGGCAAGGCGCACAGAGTGCGTTGCTGGCGGATGGCGCCATTTTGTGACGGGACTGGACCGCAAGGAACGGGAACTGGGCCGCAAGGAACGGGGACTGCGTGTCTGGGGTTGCCTGTCGACTTGTTCGTCGTGGCGTTGGGGGATGTGATGCGTGAATTCCGTTGCTGACGTTTTTCAAAAGCACGTGACGAAACGAGGCCCTTGCACCTGGGGAGGGGATGACGTTTGCAGAACGTAGCGTGTCTTAGCTCATGTGTGTTCAGGGTCTGCCACAAGGCCCAGTCCCCAAGATGTCGAGCGTTTGGAGAATGATGACAAGGGTTCATCAAAGTACACAATTGTGAAGCGAGAATAGCGCAAAAACTGATGTTAGAACCAGGGTAAAATTATCCTCCAAATTGACAAAATTCCTTGACATTACATCCTGACCACAGTACCAGAAGGACACCATCTGCTTGATTCACTGCAGCTTGTGGCAGTGCAAAACACAAACAGAGAAACGCGCAGTCGAGGAGCGCACGATTGTCGTGCATGACAGTTGCGGCCAGGTGGGGGAGGCAATCGCTCGGTAAATTCCACAGCAGTCACCCACGTGTCATACAAGCCAACCCCAAGAGCATCCCAAGCGGTGGACAAAATGCCAGCAAGGCAACGCTTTGGTGTGTGCCATGTCACGTTCAGAGCCTTCTGCAGCATATCTACCTCGTGAAAAAAGAGCTTCAAAACATCATAAGCTGGAGACACTGAGGCAGGTGGCAAATTGTATTAATTTTAAAACGACTTCTATGTTGCTAATCCTTGGGTGCCAGACAGAGACCTTCATCGCATGCAAACCCTAAACCCTAAACCCGGGCATCGACGATTCTGTAGCTTCAGTGAAACCTGGCATTCTTTTGTCACATCTCCTTGACATGGCCAGCAACACAGGGAAGGGATGTCCATGCTTGTTTGCTAGAGAAAGAATTATGCCCATGAGTCCATTGCGCAGTCTGCCTGTGTCTTGTGGACAGTCTCCATTCATGGAGCAAAAGAGGCACCACTGTAAACTCTCCATGCAGAAACGTTCGACTGCAGAGCGCAGATATGCAGAATTTGAGCACATGCACACTGAGGATTACACAATTGCTTCAAGACTGTGAGCAGTACTCCCATTCCACAATGCTTCACAAAATAATGTGTACAATGGATGCCCCTGTTGTTCAATCTGACCCTGTCCTTTGAGGTTGTTCATGTGGCAGCCATTGGTCCGGGAATGTGACAATATTTACACATGGACAAAAAAAGAACAACATACATAGCGCTGGTATTCTGGTGTGCAGTGAAAGATGCCACTGTTACTCTGAAACTGTGTTAATCCTCTGCTTCCTCCTCTGGCCAGCAGTTTACGGCAGAAAATTCCATGACCCAAGGGCTTCTATGGGCCAGAAACATGTCCTGCCACAGCTCAGGACGCCAAAACCAAACCCATGTTGATGTCAAAAGGCCAAGAGCACACAAAGCAGGTCCCTCCCTGCCATCCAAGATGCATCACCTGCTGAACCTCCGAATCAAAAGCTGTAAGCAGTGTTTCTCACCTTCAGTTCCAGTTCAATGCCGTTCACAATCTGCAGGGGCACATCTCACATTGTGAGCTCCATGATGGCGGACACGATGTCCTGGTCAGCATTTCTAAGTGACTTTACAGCCTTGGCCCTTGAAACATTGGCCTGTGCCATCACAAGTTCGATGTCCTTGGGCTCCAGGCCCGTCTCATCCACCTCCTCCCCGTCCGCCTCCACCTCCACCAGTGTAGACTCTGGCTTCTCGTCCACAGGCTCAGGCTCTGGTTGCATGCGGAATGGCTCGGCAGCTGCGGCCTGGCTCTGTGCCGACAGGTCCTCGATCTTGGCCTCCCCAAAGATAATGAAAGTGTCGGAGGCAGGGCTCTTGAAGACGTCTGGCTTGGATATCACGAAGAGAATCTGCACAAGAGGACCACTGGGGTGCTTACTGGGGTGATCAGGCAGTTGGAATGGACTGTGGTTACGCAAACATGGATGAGAATGCAGACAAGAAGGTGTGCACATGGGCAGGGCAAGCAACCACGAATATAATGTGGTGAGTGGGCATTTCCGGAGGTGCACAGCCGATGACACCAGTCTTTCGCAGAGGCAGACTCCAGCAAATGAAGGCTGCCCAGAAGGACCACGGGGGTGCTTACTGGGGTGATCAGGCAGTTGGAATGGTCTGTGGTTGCGCAAACATGGATGAGAATGCAGATAAGGTGTGCACGTGGGCAGGGCAAGCAACCACGAATAGAATGTGGTGAGTGGGCATTTACGGAGGTGTACAGCCGATGACACCAGTCTTTCGCGGAGGCAGACTCCATAAAATGAAGGCTGCCCAGATTTGCCAACATAAGCTAAATCAAGGTGAGCGCTGTTATCAAGATCAGCATTGTGGCAAGCGCCCATTGCCAAAGGTCATCACTGCCAGGTGGCAACCATCGCACGCCACACCATCCAGCGGATGGGACTAGCGCCGCTCATAGCGCGCAGCTCCCTCCCCAGGATTCTCCGCCGCCTCTCACGTTCTTGCTCTTCTTGATCGTCACCCTCTGCACCCCGGGAACGGGCTTCATGCCCAACTTCTGCATCGCCTTCCTGCTCTTCTTCTCCGACCGAGACTGCTTTCCCCTCCCGGGCACGCCATCTGCGCAGCCGTGACGCACAGCGGCAAATCACAAACAAATCACAAGCGCGGCCCACAGCGCCACCGCGGCCAATCAAAGTGCATCACGGACGCGCCGCCCAGTCTCCCCAGTAGACCGCCTCCTTACCTCCGTCTTCGTCCTCGTTCGCGTCGTCGTCGCTGCTGACTTCGTCATCATCGTCCGGGACGTCCTGAAAATCCCAAAGTCTCAGGACGCCACCCAATGGGGTTTCCGCCAAGAAGACACCCGTTTGACGCGCGTGGAATGTGTGGAGGCTGATTGCTGGCAAGGAAGATGTCGGCGACTCACCTCGATCAGCTCTATCTCTTCTTCTTGTTTGGTCATGTTTGTTGCGAACCGACGGCGGAGGCGGCGGGGTGCGCGTGGCCTCTGCTGGTGTGGCGGGCGTGGCTGCGCCAACAGCACTGGAACCCACGGCTTCTCGCGAGGAAAGTGCAGATACCATGCCAAGGGGTTAATGTACTGTGCGCAGCCGAGGTGAATGGGCTGTGCATGGATGGCCTACTGCCAGTTCTCCACGCATTTTCCGTCGAGTGCTTGCCCGCTATTGTTCCGGCTGAATCCGTCGAAAATTTTGCGGGGAGCACGGAGTTGGTGGGCGTGACACGTCACGTGGAAGAGACATTTTCTTTGCGTCATGCCCAGCAACATGCCCATCAGGCCACCCGCCAACCTGAATGGAAAGCCTCGCATCGGGACGAGTTGCGTCAATCCTTCAAGCTTTAAAGCGTGCCTGTAGTACCCAGTCGCCAGTGGGTAAAGCACAGGCCCCAGGCCTGCCTTGCCCCTCGTCCCCGGGCCGGCCGGCTCTCACCCACGTTGCGCCCCTCTCCCCCAAAATTCCGACCTCTTGAGCGCCTTCTCCGCGGCGTGCGCGCGCCCGTGTCCGCATGCGCACCAGGGCCGGGGACCAGGGGCCCTCCGGGCGCCACATGGGCCTGCGGTGGCTCCAGGACGCGGGCCGCGCGAGCGTGGCCTCCCGCGCCGTGGAGCACATCCTGGGGGTGGACCGCAGGGGGGGCGGCCGGCCGGCGTCAGGCCCGGAGCAGAGGGCCGATCGGGACGCTGGCGCCGCGACGCCGTCGAGCTCGGTGGTGAGCGCACCGGGCATCTCGTCGACCGCGCGGGGCTGGCCCGTTTGGCCAGGGGAACAATGTTTCGGATTCGTGGGAGGGGGGAAGAGGGGGGGGGGAGGGGGGGGCGGGACTGGGAGAGTGGAGGGATGATTGGGGATGGGTGGGGAGGGGTACTGCGGCAAGCCGCGGAAGAGGATGGTCATGGGGCCATGCGGAGTGGTCCAGGGCTTCGTTGGGCCCTCTGCTGGCCCTGGAGAAAGCGTCCCGTGGGCTGGAGAGGGTCCAGCGGCGCACGGGTCGTCGTGCATAGTCGGCGTGGGTTTCGGGTCTCTGCCGGTGGTCACCGGTTGCTGGCCGGTTGCGTTTGGTTCCGGCTGTACAGCGGCGCGCGGCATCCGTGGTCAGCGGGCTGTTGGCTAAGGTGGCGAGCGCCCCTAATTCTGTGGGCGCCGGAGGGCCATCCGCCTGTCCGTTGTTGATCGGCGTGGGCGCGGAATCGGCGGCGTCGGGCTTGCGCGGGCGCCCGACGTCGTCCCCAGCGTTGCAAAGGGTCGCCGTCCCTAGGGCGTAAATTTCCACGTTGGCTGTCGCAGAGCCTGACGAGGAGGGCGTGCCTGCTCGCGCCTCGTGGCACGTTCACTCGTTTGAAAGCCTGCTGGCGCGGAGCCTGGCTGTGCCTCCCTGACGGGTGTGGCGTGCTGGGCCAAATCGCGAACATGCAGCTAGAAGTGTGGAGACCAGTCGAACAGCAGGCTCATTGTTGCATCTGTGCCGCCCGCTGTCCGATTGGTCTACACTGTTCGCTTTATCCCCAGTTCCAGGCCACGCAGCAGCGGTTGGTTGATCGATGAGTTGATCATTCCGCAGAGGGCGGCCTTCCCAAGGGAAGTGTCCCCATGGAGCCCCTGTTGTGGCAGCGGTGCTGCTCTTCACCGTGGCAGTTGCCTGAAGGCTGAGTTGGCTGTCCATTAGGCGGACCAGGTTTCCAGTGCCCTGCGCTCCAACGCCACTTGCAGCATCTGCATGGACATACTCGCTGCGCCCCATCGGAACTTCTGCGGCCACACCTTCTGCGGTGCATGCCTGGGGAGCTGGGCAGAGAAGGGCGCCCGACTGAGGTGCCCCGTGTGCAGGAAGCGCCTCCGGGACGTGGTCCAAGACAGGGCTTTGGAGGGCTTCATCGAAACTTTGTCAGCTTCTGGCCTGTCTGGGGAAGAGCTTGCCAGTCTCAAGGATCGCACCAGGTCCTGGGGAGACGAGGTGGGTGTCCATAGCTGCAGTGAATGTTGTCATCTGTGTTCCTGACAGTGCAGCAGCAAGCACATGCAGGTGAATCCTGTGCAACACTGGCAGAATAAGTTGGTGGCCAAGCCAGGGGAGTTGTCACTGTCCTGAGGGCTCATCGTGTGCGGGGTGTTGCTATGCAGGCATGTGGGCGCGCTAGGTCTGTGGGCTCCAAAAGCTCAGATGCTGCAATTGTCATGTCGGTTAGTCGTCTTGGTGTGCCTGTAAATGTGGTGCAAGAACATTCAGGCGAGGGATATGTGGTGCATCTTTGGAACTTGATAGGGTGTTTTTGCTGAGAAGCACCGCGTCATGTACTGCAGAAGGACAGCATGTACGAGTCCTGGACCAAGTTGGGAATAAAACTGGACAGTCGTAGAAAGAGCTCCTTTGATGACAACACAGAAGACAGTGAAGATGGTGATGATCGCATTGGACGTGATGAACTGTTTGATGGTGAGTGCAACCCAGCATACGCCTGGGATGTACCTACGTTCAGACAGTGGTGCATTTCGAGTTGCTGGGCGTCATTCCTTGTGATTGGATACCTATATGCAGAGCTATGAGCACTGTTCCAAGGACTTTTTAATATCAGCATGGCCACAAGCAGAACTGTTGTTGGATGGTACTGATCTCTGATGGACCGGTTGGTTGATATTGCCCAGACAGTGCCCTTATGCATGGCCTGATTTCTTAATCTTCTGATGATGCGCTCCTCTGTGGCCTCAGCAGACCCTAACGACGAGTGGGACTATGATGCTCACCATGAACTGGGCATGGGGATGAGCGCTGTACAGATACTGCTGACGGACACAGAATCGGACGATGAGGAGTCTGAACGTTTGGGGCCAGGTGACCTCGACTGGACAAGCCCAATGGATCAGCTCACTGCAGAATGGGCTTTCCATGATCACCAAGAAGCTGTGGATCCAGATCTCGAAGTCGAGGTTTTAACTGACAAGGAGGAACATGTGGTGGATGAGGAGCAGACTGGCGAGTGGGACCGCCCCTTTGCTGACCCCTCATCTACGGAGGATTGGAATTTGGACGCCCAGCTGGATCGGTTGGCTCTCGACCCATGTACAGACACTCCGCTGGGTCCCGAGCTGCTGCGCAGGAGGCTCGAGAACACATACGAACAGACAGTGGACGGGTGGCTATATGAGCACGAAGGGGAGGTGGACCCAGAGTCAGACGGTGAAACAGCGTCAAGCTCCGCTCATGGCGAACGCCTGCGCAGCAGGGTGTGCCTGGATGGCATGCGCAGCGTCTCCAACCATCGCGCGGAGTCACCAAACCAGTACCGGAGAGTGCTGCGCGATTTGTCCGATGACGAAGCAACAACAAGCTCCGATGGCGACCACACCGGGCAGGGCTATCCCTTTGGTTCGGACGGAAGCCTGCCCCTGATGGAGCTGCATGGCAACCGGGTGCTGCTGGACTTCCCATGGCAGTGTGATCATGATTCGCACCGCCTGGCTCACAGCTTGGGTGTCACCGTCACAGATTCTGAGCAAGGGGAGTGCGCCAGCAGCGGGGGGCACCCACCCGAGTGGGAGGGGCTGTACGACGCGGGCTCAGGGTGGCATTCTGGCATGCCTGACTTCGATGCCATCGACCCTGGGCTGGATTCAGAGGAGGGCAACGGCAGGAGTGACAGAGAGGGGGGTCCATCCGACGGGGAGAACGACGTTGAGGGCAGTGGCTGGGGTGACCATGACCACGAAGCAGGCGTCACCTTGGACGAGTGCAGCTTTGAGGCGTATGAAGGGGAGCTGTTTGGTGAGTCTTGCTCAGACCCCAGCAGGGACTCAGATTGCGACGCTGATGATGGCGGGGAGGTTGCTTCTAGCGTTGGACACCCCTCGCACTATGAGGACTCGGAGCCTGAAGACTAGACTGGTCGTTTGGAGGGGGAGGGGGGGGGGGGCGGCGGCGGCGGCTGTGATCCGATATGGTCAGTGTTCCAACCTCGGTTGGCAGGCGCCTGGGTTGCACTGTGTCCCACAAGAATGGGGCCAAACGATAAGCGATTTAGTCGTTGACTACATAGACTGCTGTCGAGACCAGGGTGTTTGGCTGTCCATATGGACGCGCCTGGGTTAGACCAGGAGGAGCGTGGGTTTTTGAACATATTGTGTGTGATCCACGCTGTTGGCTGCACGCCGAGGGCGTGCACAGCCGCGTCTGGAAGGTGCTGAACTGGGTGTATAGCTTCGTGACGTGCGGACTGTCAGCTCTCGAATTCATATCATGCACACAATGGACCGTGAGTCGTTTGGTGTAAAATGCGACGAGTTGGACAGATGGATACACAACAAAAATTTACACTGAAAGAAAGAATACAACAGCTAAAACAGCCGAGAATGCGACCACCACTGGTACAGATGAGGGAATCAGCGTGATTCTGGCAGAAGCACCACGTTCTCAATGCGCCCTCTCCATGAACAGAATAAAATCCCTGTGCCTGTTCTTCCCCTTGTATCAGAAATCCCCCCCCCCCTCCCCATCTATTCGACGTCCAGGTACTTCAGCTCGTCAGTCCCCAGTCTCATGTCCTCGGATACGGCCTTTAGACCTTCCAATACGTCGCGCTTCATGGCGCGCGCGTACCTTGACCACCTGTCCCTTTGGTCTGGGTACTTGGCCATGATGAAGCGAAACTCGTTGATCGCATCTCTGATCACCCGGACGAGGGAGCCTTCGTCGATCAGTTGGAGGGAGAGGCACTGCGACGCACACAGGTCGCTTAGGGCCAAGGGCGTCGCGCCCGACTACCTCCCAACAACTCGCTACTTCAAGTTCACCCCACCCCCTCTTCAAGTTGATTTTGGAGCTTGCAACCTCAATGGGGCACATGCCAGTTGTGAGGGAGCCTGTCCGATTTGCACGCTCGACGCCAAAAGCATGCACGCCTGTCCTGTGCAGGTTCGCCCCAGAACATGCGCACAAAGTGATTGGGCGAAACCGCGGTGCATGGCGATTCTTGCGCCCCACGATGGTCGTGAAATCGGTCCAGTTGCCGCCAACGGCCAAAATATCACCTGAATTCAGAACACCGAAAATTGTCCCACGGCAACACAGCCCCACAAATCTGTCCATGCACCACCGATGCAGCATCAGCATTCAATCGGCTGACGACATCCATGCGGTGCCACATACAACCCTTCCCCAGCGGAGCGAAACTTGCTCCCCGCCGGGAAGTTGCAAAATCTGTACCGCACACCTTCACCACACACACCCCACTTCGCAGTGACTGGCGCCGGTTCAAGCGAGAAAGACTTCCTCTCTGAAACGAAATTTCCGAAATGGGGACCCGCACAACCTGTCCAAACAGAACGATGCAGCCACCATCAAACGAAATTCAGCCGCCAGGCAGCGGCCTCGGGGAATCCGTCTTACCTTTGTCGCCATTGCCACGTGGGTTTCGTGCATGTGGCAGTCAGCGTCGAGCATCGAGCCTAGGAGGTGCTCCCTCTCGCACGCGCCACACTGGGTGCAAGATGCGCTTACTGTTTGCGCCAATGGACGGACGATGTGGATGAAGGATGCGAACAACCTGGCACAAGAGGGGATGCAGACAGCTTCATGACCACATGGCAATTTGCTGGACCAACCCTGGCAGTCCCCCACGTGTCCATAATCTGAACGCGATCCCTTCTCCCCAACGGACCCAGGCTTGGCCACACATGCAGCCAAAGGAAGCGATGGAAAAGAAACGCACGGACGCTCACTGTGATGCAGACAACACGCTGCAGCACACTACACAACGGGAGCGCTGCACGGCAGCAGGGTATGCAGTGCTTCGAGGCCTCAGCAACGCGCACCTGCCGTGCTCTTCGGCCTCATCTGATTCGAGTTCCTGGAGGCTGTTGACCGCTTCGGCAAAGTAGACATCCCCTTGACCATTATCCCCAAAGAAAAGAAAGGAGGACTCCGGGTAGCAGTCAGAAAACGCCTTGAAGTTCTGGACCTTTCTCTCGCCCAGCATTTGGTACACGATATGCTTAATGCCATTGAAACCTGGAATCAAGCTGCAGCGAAACAACAGGTGAGCCGGAATGTCCGTGAATTGTCACAGATGCGTTGAGCAGGGATCGTTGCAACTTAGGTTAACGGCAAGTCCAGCAACTGGGAGTTTGTTGTGGATCAAGAACAACACGTCGTGAAGATTACCTGTTGCAACGCACTGTTTGAGTGCGCTAACGAGCAGAGCACTCAACGCTGTCTTGATGCATCGTGCAGAGTTGTCCCAGCAGAATGGGAGGATAAGAACAGTCAGCACATTGCTACACATTTAACCACAAGAACGATGGGGCACTTCCCGCAAACAATGCCAGCTTACGTCTGCCTCGTGAAGTACATGACGATTGCTTGAAGTATGCTCCCAACGGAACCCATCAACAGCACCGGCAGACAATAGAGGCGGCCACTCTTCACCAGTGGCTTTATCACGGCGGAATAGAAGGCCGCCTCTGACCAGCCCTTGTAAGACCGAGGGCGGGCTGAAAGCAAGATAATGTTAGAGCCCGCCTGCTGGCACGCTGGAATTCGTGCTCCGTCCGCCTCAGCTGGAACAGACAAGATGGTGGCAGATGCACGCGCCTCCTGAAGACGAAAACGCCACCGTTACTGACGATGCTTGGCCAACGCCCCTCACATTTTCCCGCACAACCCCATGCATGCTTTGCAAAGCCTCTAAATCAGGGTGCTCTGCTTCTGATTCCCACACAGCAAGTTCCACCAACTGCAACCCTTGAATGAACACTGTGTGCTGATCAAGCTGCAAGCAGAGCAGCAGATTGGCCACAGGATTGCAAGTGGCTGCGGTTCGTCAGCAACCATCTGGCACACCTTTTCGCTGCTGACATTCATGACCGGAATCATGGACGTCCGCAGACTTTTGGTGAAGCAGTGGTCAAGCTCCTTCCAAAGTGTGAGCACCCCCGGATAAATAGCCTTCCGAGGCAGCCTGTTGTCGCAACCAGCAAACTTGGGGGTGGCTCCACTGCAAACTATGGTGTCATCAAAGTCACTGATGATCTGCAGCCATGCAGCAAACAACAATCTCAAAGCAGCCCTGTGCAGATGGCACTGTTGCGATCCAAAACGCACAGCACTGAAGGCTTCGAGATACTGGCGTGCACAGAACTGCTTTGAACGCATTGTTAGCGTATGAAAAGAAAGCCCTGCATAAGTAAGAGGGCAGGCGGCATCAAAGCTCTCAGATAGAGGGAATTCTGTCGCCAGTCTGGATTGGTGTTGTGTAGAAGCTGACTACCTGCATGGGCACAGCTCATACCTTCAGGGCATAGCCTCGTTTCCTTGTGAAAGAGTTAGTATCTCGAACTTTCTTGCCTTCCATCTTGACATGGCGCCAAACATTTGTCCTCAATGATCCTTGCAGATCTTTGCCAAAGAGCTTTGGGCAGTTATGGAATCCCCACCCTGCGTCAATGTAACTCTGTGAACATGTCAAGCATCGTGTCAAGCAGAATTCTGACACATGTTGCCAGCCCCAAAATAGCGGCTTCCACCTTCGGTCCATGTTTCACAGTCGCGAAAGGCAGAAGGATGCACCATATACAAATCATGCAAAATCTGCATCCTGCACTGAACAGAGGATCCTGCATATAGCCACAAAGGTATCGCTCTTCTTCTTCACAGAATGGAGGTGGCTTGCCTGTGCTGAACCCACGTAAAAGTTATCTGTGTGGACTCTTACAAAAGAATGTCAATAGCCTTGAATCACAACTAGGACGTGGTTTTGAGGTTTTTCAGCAGTTGGCATGGGGCTGTCACAATTTCAGAACAGGCACTGATACCCGACGGTCGGACGCCGCTTTCCTGCTCACCTTCAAAATCGTGAGCTCCACACCGAACGTGTGCTGAACGATGCTGCCAACACACTTTTGATGAAAGTCGTTGCCTTGCAGCCCAATCTTCTGGAAGGCATCAATCAAAACAGCCCTATAAAGAAACATGGACATCAACCCAGCAGGACAGATGGCCATTCAGAACCCAGCATGGCCCTAGCGGCAGTTGTGATGGTGGTATCAGCAGGAACAACATCTAGGTCAGTTGCCCTGTGTCAACAAGGTGGATGGGTGCCATGTCCACACCACAGTGGTGAATTCTCAGCAGGTAACGTTCAGAGCTGCGACCCTGTCACCAAGGATCACCATGTCTAAGCAATTGCAGGATGCATCCAACACAGAACGTTCAGGCTTAGGAAAATGAAGAGATGAGGCTGGGGCAAGTGGCTATCCAATTGGTGCAGCAATGTGGATAGGTGCAAGTACTGTCTTCGGCAGAAAGGACAGCAACAGCTGTGATTGCTGAGCCAAAGTACCCAACTTAACCATGGAAACCGTGGTAAAAGTGCAAATAGATAGAATAGGTGGTGGCAACATTTTCCACCACTTCTTCAAGTGTGTGATGCGTGGAACACCTGCTTTGTCGAGAGCAGGTTTCCAGCTGCCAGTTCTGTGCACAAAACATGGCAGTATGGAGGGCAACAAGTGTTGCCACAGGTGGACATAGGTAACATGCGATTTCTTGCTGATTCAGAGTGTAGGCTGTGCGCTCCACAAAGGCCAATGTAGGCACCAATGCAACCTTTGATAGCATCTTGGGGCATCTTGTTGACTTTCATTCTGCAAGGTTATCACATGCAGGTGCCCTGTTCCTTCTCCCCATATGAATGGTTGAATGCTGCAGAGTACATGTGTAGGGGACAGTTGGTCACCTTGACAACAGGTCCAATTCTAGCAACCTTCCATCTGGAGCTGGTGATGTCAGCAGCTTGGCAAATGGTTGCCCAGAACACTCCATCATTTGTGGGCAGTTCACACGTGCGAGAATGTAATTGAGTTCCGCTGCTGTTGCATCATGCAGAACGCCATACACAATCTTCCTTCTTTGCCTCATGCTCCCCATAAGAATCGACACCACCTGTACCAACCCAATGCTTGACCCCATATTCCGGTACATTTTGTCCACCAGCATTTTCACAAGTGCTGCTTTGCCTTCAGCCTCCGGTGTTCCTATCCAGCGAGAAACCACATGCCACTGTTGATTCACACTCATTGGCCCTCCTCCACATCACAAAACCACAGGAACATGCAAAAACCATATCATCGCCTTGTTCTTTCCAAGCTCTTCAGACGATGCACTCTGTGCTAAGAAAGCAATCCAAGCAGTCCATGAAAACCCCCATCGTACAATTCTTCTCTTTCAGCGATGCCTTATACTGTTCCTCCCACTCACACTTGGCACAACAGTGTTAACAACAGCAAGGCAATTCAATCCCCTGTCCGCATTATGACACATTTATGGCACTGGGTTTGCATAAGGTTGACTTCCACTGGACCGCATCTTTGTTGGGTGCCGTGCCACGAAACAGCACTGGCAGTCTCCTTCAGACAAGCAGTAGAATATTGAGGAGCCCATAATTTTGGGAAGTCCATGTCCTCACATGCTGGATTTAAATGAGATGAGTGGGCCCCATGCACAAATCCATTGCCCCAAGCGGGCCATGAGTTAATGCTGAAAATTTGCACCAGTAGGCACCAACAGAAAAATCACCTTTGACTGTAGTGATGGCCTTTGCTTCGAATGGCACCAGATCCATGGTTCGCCGCATACTATTTTCCAATAACGATGCCAGAAGCAGCTAATTGGCAGAAACACATGGAGTCAGCATTGTGGAAAGATTGGCCAATGACCTTGTGCTTAGCTGCTCTTGGGGTATTGTTGTTTTGTACTGTTTAGCTCCATGGAGAAGATTAGATGATGCTTTGTCCTCTACCAGAGGCAATCATGTCTAGTACCTTGACTAACCATTTGCGAAAGCTCCATTCACAGCTGTGTCAGTGGATTGATGAATGCAAGTCTGCAATGTCAAGCACATCAAACAGCAGTACAACAGTGTCATTGTCGCCATTTTTGGGGATACTTCCAGGAGCATCATATAAACAAACATACCACAAGAACATAAGTGCATAACCATACTGAACATAACACATGGGCAACAAGGGACACTGCTATCTCAACATGTGGAAGAAGAGAAGAAGCGACAGTTCAGCGGGGTGTTGAAATCATGTTTTATTGCTTCCAAGATTCCAGATCAACACATGTCTCAGCAATTTGTGCACTAGCAAGCAAACATAGGAGGATCATTGTGCACGCATTGCACACCAGCAGTGCTGGTATGGAGTTCAGTGGGCTCGAGACCAGGCAACAAAGGACATGGATACTACCTCATCAGCAGTACTGATGAAGAGCGTAAAAGCCCACCACCACTCTGATCGCATCCATTCAGTTGTATGCCAGCCATGCCAGAATTCTGCAATGTCCACCCACTATGTGCCTGATAATCTGCAATATCTAATTGTGCAGCATCCCCTCTGCCAACCCGCGTTGCCCACGGGGGACAGCAAAGGCATATCAACTGCATTCCCTGCAGTCAGATTCGAAGCAATTCTCCCTAACCTGAATAAAGCAACTCACCGATATAATGATGACATATGCAACGTTGCTGAAAATGCCATCCAGCGCTGGAAGCAGCCACACCCCCATACAGCAAGCAACGACCAACCAGAATATTCGTCGTGCAAAACGGCTGCGAAATGAAACCACAGTACTAGTCAACCAGTGTGGCAAGGAAGAATGCACCCTGCCCAGATGAACAGACACGACAAATCTATAACTGACCAATGCTATGCCCAAGCTGTGGCTTTCACCTGAACCAGAAGTGTATCTGATTTTCGCGTTGGATGGTTGCAACACTGAGTTCGCATCACTTTGCATGCCATGTTTGAAGACTAGCTCAGTTTGTAGTTGGGCCAGTCAAGTGACTGACGTCACAGAGAGCATTGGTTCAACGCCAGCTGGACTTACTGCGGTAACAGTTCACCCCTTGGCCAGAACCAACGGAAAGTTTCCAGCATCAAGGTGTGGAGCTGAAGTGCAACACCTGAGCGCGGGTCCTAAAACGTCGCCAGAATCACGTGACAGACCCCGCCAGACTGGGTGTGATCACACAAAGAGTAAGTTGATGGGCCAGCTGGGCCGAGGCCATTTGCAAAATTTTCCAGCACCCGCAGTCCCCGAAGACAGCAGGGTGTCGCCGCTAAACTACAGATCCAGAGCAGGTTCTCAAAATCGCACTAAAGGTGTAGCGAGGCACTCCATCTTCGCCCTCATCCCTTACTACGCCACTTGTCGCGTGTCATCGGCGCTGCCATCTCTGGCCGGTGTTATCTAAACGACTGTCAACGCACAGAAGCTTCATTTCTTGTAGGAAGACCGACGGTAGGCCCCTGGGGAGCGCCCTGTCATGTGGTATTGGCAATTGCAAACAGGAGGGCGTAATGACGCTGCCATTTTTCAAGGCGCCAAGGTTGACGGGCTGCCGATGGGCAATGGCAAGAGCGGTGCTCCTGCCATTGTGGAAGCGCTCCTCAGAAGGTACAGCAGCACGGATGGTCTATCTTGGGCTGTGAAGGAGGAGGGGGGGGGGCGGAGGGCGACGTACTTGGAGTGCACCATCGAGTTCGCCAGCGCAGTGTAGAGGAACACGCTGGCCAGGGAGGCAATGCCGAGAGCCGTGGCGACCCTCATCCTTTCCTTTTCGGCTGCCGGCAGTGCAGACAGACTCGCGCCCCCGCTGAGGGACCTGGTCGCGGGAAAAGGAAGCAAAAGAGCGTCAAGCGTCGCGCGGATTAGCCACCAACCAACGACGCAGCAGCGCAAATCGATCATCCGTACATGGGTTTATAATGCGATGTCAATGACGGGCACCACCTCTACATTGGCATCCGTGTTGGTGAATATCCCCCCTGGCCGCCCGTCCGCTGCCGCCGGCGACTTCCCACGGTTGACAACACAGTCACGGCCCCCAAGGACCAATCACTTCCCTGGGGCTTGATCTTCGCACACACCCTCCTCATCCCCCAACCCGCGGATAGGCCAGTCGTGCGGCGGCACGAAGCCAGGGGCGATCAGCGTAGGCTTGTCGACAGGGCCGGTGCCCGTTCCACCTTCTCGCCTTCCCAAGGCCCTGTTGTCGCGGCAGAGCGCCAGAGGTAGGTGCGCCACCCCCGGGTCCCATGCCTGGCAATGCCGCTCGGCCGGCTCGGGCGCGCTCAAGCGTTTCGCGATCCGTGGCCGCCAGCCCCGCCTCGCGGATAACGGCAGGGAGGCGCTGGGGATGCAGAGGGGGAGTCGATTGCATGGGCGGTTTGGGATGGGGGATATTGTTGGCGAGCTTCTTCGGGCGCCGCTGCAACCCCGGCGGGGCGGGTGTGGCGGTTCCGCGCCGTCGCGGCCCGTGGGGGCCGCTGTTTTGGGATCGTCGGGGCGCTCTGAATTTTGGCCTCGCTGCTGCGTGTGGCGTGCAGGCGCCCACTTCCCGCGCCCGTCGAAGGGGCGGCGGCATCGACTGCGGGGTCCGGGAGACTGGACGGTCGGGTACAGAGGACGAGGCAATTTGTGAATTGGGCAGCTGTGGCTTTGCCGTCCGAAGATTGTTGCTCAGGAAGTGCAGGGTGGTGATTGCCGCGGTGCCATTTGGGAAGGATCTGGAGATGCGTACGGGAGGCCGAACGGTATATCAGTTGCTGTTGGCGAGCATCGTGTGATAGGAACTGTGAGGGCCTTTGCTTGAGGTGCGGTGTGCAGCGCGCCGCTGGCCGCGCTCGACGGTTGCAAATTTTCTGCCGCTGGGCTAGAAGGGTTGGCGACCGTTGTGGAACGGGCGGGGAGGAAGGTTGGGTAGGAAGGAGGCGGCGAAGGGCGGTTGAAGTCCGGGGCGGGACGCGCCATGGCCGACGTCGGGGGCCACGCGGTGAGCGTGCACGAGTACGCGCGCCAGTACGTGCTCAAGATCACGCATGACGACAAGTACTGCAGCCCGGAGGAGTGCGACCGCGCGGGGCGGTCGCTGCACGCACTGCTGCGCCAGCTGGCCCAGGACGGCGACCGGGAGGACGTCCGCATGACGTTCAAGACGTTGAAGTGCGAGTTCGGGTCGCAGTGGAGGCGGGCGTCGCTGGGACGCCGCGGGGAGGTGCTAACGCGGCTGTTCGCCATCCTGGACGTGGTGCACAAGGAGTGCATGAAGAACTCGAGGCCGGAGGCGGACGGGGGGCCCGCCAATTCCGTGATTCTTGAGGAATTCCGATTGAGGGTCGCTAAGATGGTGACCGGGGAGACATGGGAGGACTGCCTGCCGCTGCGCCTGGCGGCGCTGAAGCACATGCACAAGTACGCCCAGGCGGAGGGCGACCTGCTGCGGCAGACGTCGCACGTGGACAAGCCCGGGGAGCGGCTGGGTGGGGGCAAGCACAAGGTGACCAAGTTCCTGCGCAGCGTGAAGGGCGGGACGGCGATGGGCTGCTGGGGGGCGGCGTTCGACGAGATGTGGCTCAAGTCGGGCGCGCGGCTGACGCCGCTGCTGCTGGCGCTGGTGGAGGAGAACGCGGCGCTGCAGGAGGACCTGAAGACGTGGAAGAGGGACGCCGCGGCCCAGGGCAACGGGGACGCGCCGGCCAAGGGCGCCGGCAAGGGGGCGACCCCCAAGGGGGCAATCCCCAAGGCGGCGGCCTGCAGGGAGGTCCCACCCAATGCGGCCGCTCGCAAGGACCCGCCCGCCGTGACGATCGAGGGGCCCAAGGCCAAGAATGGGCAGGTTCGAGATGTCGGGGATTGTATGCCCCCCAAGCTTCCCCCGTCTGTTGATCCGCCTAGCCGCGGGCCCGGGCCGTTTGAGCGAGGGCCGGCGGCAGCGGACGCTGTGGCACCGCTGCGGCTGTCCCTGCTCCGGGGCGCGTCGGGCAACCTAATCAACCTGGACAACGTGGGGGCGGCCTTCTCGCCCAAGGGCCAGGCCTCCAGGCTCATGTCCATCGAGTCGGATGTTTCGGATGTGTGCAGCCCGCTCTCCGTGGACCACGGGGCGTCGTCAGGGCAGGACCCGTTGGTGGTCGCCAGCAACGACGCGGACTGGGTGTCTTTCGCCACTGACGGCCCCGGTGCTGGCCCCGGAAGGACTGCATCTGGTGACAATGGCCCCAGTGGGCACAGCGATCACAATGGGCACAATGAGCAGGGCAGGAACACGGGGCTCGGCAGGCACAATGGGGACAAGGGGCACTGTGCGCATGACGGACGCAGTGGACACAATGGGCACCAAGAGTGCAGTGGGTGGGAGTCGCCGCTCCCCCCTGCCCCTGTGATGCAGGGGGTGGGCGACTCCACGAACGGCGCTGCGAGTATGTATCCACTGCCCACCCCATTTGGCAAGGAGCAGCGCGTTCTGCAGCATGCGACTGGGTCCATGGGTTCTGCGCCGCAGCTGAGCGTGGCGGGGTTGTCTTCGGCGCCCCTGGCGCCCAGATCCACTGCCTCTCCAGGGGGGTCTTACACGCTGGGGGGCTACCAGGACGGCCCTGGCACAGCCAGCGTTACATATCCGAGGCAGATGGGGGGTCCTCCGAACAGCAAAGTCGCTTGGCGTCGCTACCTGCAGCCACCAGAAGCCTTCGAGACGCTGGACCCATTGAAGAGGCAGGCATGAGGATTGGACCAGAAGAGCTGAGATGGATGCGGTAAGGCTGGGCCCTTGCAGTGGGGATAGCAGGCAGTGGCGGGACTGTGGTGGGAACAGTGGCTTGGTGGTTGGAGTGGCGGCTTGGTGGTGTTTTGAGTTGGGGCGTATGGTGTTTGAATGTGATTCGTGAACAGGGCGGGATTGCGTCCTCGCTGGCATTTTTTGGATGGGGCCGGGTGACATTGTAGGGGAAGTCGAATGCAAAGTGAACTAGTAGGGGAGCTGTGTGCTGCTGCGGCGACGTATTTGGAGAAGAAAAGGAGAATTGCGGTGTGGATGTGGGGTGGCATTGTGTTTGCACACTGCGCATTGCAGTGATGTAATAACTGAGGTTGCCTACAGGCACCGCCTTGGAAGACAGTTTCAGAGCTCTGCACTGTTTTCTCTTGTCTGCTTCACAAGCGATTTAGCGTTTCGCTGTGCAGGCGCCAGCATGCGTTGGCTGCGAACAACAGCCGCTGTGCTTCTCTATACCCTGCCCCAAGGCACTTTTAGATGCGATTGTGCGCTCTAATGCCACTATCAACGGTGCCTACTGCAGGAACTCCTCATTCCATCTCACTCCATTGCACCCGTCAATGCACAACAACATTTGAAGATGCACTGTGATGCAGAATTATGCTGCTACTGTGTAAGTGAGAACTGCTAGCTGTTGAGCTGACAGCATACCAATACCCAACACAGTGCGCCAGCGACCAATGGAACCCGTCGAATTCTGCATGGTGGGTGAGTTTTGGCCCTTCCAGTTGCTGCAGAAGGGGAAGTTTACATTGTCACAGCGCAACAGCAGGGGACGCTTGCATGAAAGCGAGCAAACATTCACAACCTGCAGCAGGTGTCACAAGTCTAGGTACAAATGGACAGCCCTTATGTTTCTCACAAACAGTGTATGGGTCTGTCGCATTTCCTTTTTGGACATGCCCCTTCCTCTGTTCCTTGCTCTGTGGACTCTCACATCTGCAAACTTCCACACAATGGCGTCTTCGTCAGGGGCTGAGTCCCCTATCCGCACGAAGTTGAAGATCTCCTTTTTAATTGACCCTGATTCGTCCGTGAACTCGACTGTCATGGGAAGCTCTTTGAACCTGTCAAGCTCGTCCGGAACGATCACTCGCCGCTCAGCACCAGGCGAAGAAACTTCCAGGGCTACATTGCCGGCCTCATCCACCCCCATCCTGGACTCCATTCGCGTGTACACTGCTCTCGAGAAGTCCTCTATCTCAATCAGATTGGGAGAGCCATACATGTCGCTGGTCTTGTCTAAGCGTATGCTCACTTTGTTGCCCAGGGCTTCAGCGTGGAAAGAGTACAGCCTCAATGCCGACATTCTGGAGAGTTTCAAGACCTCCCTGACAATCTCCAGGACAACTTGCCCCCACTCTGTCCCCTCTGTATCCTTCACTCCGGGGACCGTGGGTTGCTCGATGGGCTCCAGACTTTCTTCGTCGCCTGTGCCACTCCCTGAACTCTGTGCATCTTGGGATCTGCCACTGCTTTGAGGCACTACGTGACTAGAAAAGCCATCCTGTACCAAATTTGAGCCCGGATCCTCTGACGGGATGGCTGAGCCACCTTGTCGCATCCTGCTCTTTCCATGCTCATCTCCATTCAGCCCTGCGTTGTCTCCCACCAGTCGATCGTCATCCTGATTCTCTTCAGGTTGTAAAGTCATCACACTGTTTGCCTCCCCGTCCCCAGTGTCCTCATGCCCCCACACAAGGTACTCCTTGTCATCATCGTCGCACAGACCCTCCAGGGGTTCCCCATTTGATGCGGACACCCTAGCTGCAGGGCCTGCACTGGGTATGCCATGCACAGTGCACAACTGTTGGCCAATATAACTGTCCCTGCCACTCAACGCTGCTGCCCCTCTGTGAGCAACAGCGGAAAAGAGCCCATTCAGGCGGTGCCTGGAAGCCAGCAACTGGCGATAGACCACTTGATGAGCCATCAACCTGCACCTGTGAGACACAAATGGCCTCAAGAGGCGGTGTTACTGGGAATCTGCAAACATAAATGCGATGGGGGACGGAAACAGACAGGAGGGTTTGTCAATGCCTATCGTGCCATTCCCACAGCGGATGGAACAAATTCGTTAAGCTTGTGTGTGTCATGAAGTTCTGTGTCCATGCCCTGCTTTGGATGTTGTTCGATGGTGTAAGCATCTGTGGCCGAGCACTGCAGAGCGGCAAAGTGGGCACAGTGGTCATCGCTTTGGACACTGCACAATGCAAGGAAATGCGCAAGGCTAAAAAATCAGAGGAATGCACAAGGCGCTGCGGCGACTGTCGCTTTCTTTCCTTCTGGCACACGAGCAGGTTACGACCAACAAGTCGCTCAGACCCCGCACCTCATTCCTCCGTGGATGGAGGGCGGGCATGGTGAGTTTGTGCCACATTTCAGAGCCGTAACACGAGCGGGCATTTCCAAAAATTCTAAGGCTGCCTATCGACTTCACGGCTGGAGATAGCTCTCATTGATGTCGCTTATTGGTCCCCGGAAGACAAGAGCGCGCACGGATACAAAAAGCGCATCAATCCATGCGCCAGACTCACTTTCGCAGGTGCCGCCGCGGGCAGCACAGCGCGACCTCCCCCTCCGCTCGCAGCTGTCTCCAACCTCTCGCCGCCTTCTTTGCTGGGGACTGGCGGCCTGCCGTCGGGCCTGCGCGCGGCTATAGCGATTTGTCCGAGGGCTGCTGACGTGGCATCAGCTTGTGCGGCCTGTGCAAGTCGCTGGGTGTTTGGACCCGACGTCGACGCTGAGGCCAGCCTCACCATCGGCGTCGGCGCCTTCGTGTCGCGCCCGTTCTGGCGGCATGCGTCGCGCCCTGTTGGCGCGCCACGGCTTGTCCGAGACCGCGCTAGCGGGCTGCGGGAGGGGGCTTGCGGGCAGGTTGGGAGGCGCGGAAGAGGCGAGGCGAAGGGCGACCTGCTCCGCCAGCCAAACCGCCAGGTAGCAAGGGCGGCGAACGCGGGTCGCTGGACGCGAACGCCATCTGTGGTTTTCCTGCTGGTGCTGAAATCATTGATGGAAGAACTGGAAAGCGACGTCTATGTTGGCATTTGCTGATCGTCCCATTTGGACGATCCATTGGCATCAAATATACAAGGGGTTCATGAGAATGGTACGTGAAGCGCGTCTACAGAACGGGGCGTATGATGCCGGCAGAATTGCACAACAGGGATTGTTTGAAACGCTGTGATGCACTTGTTCAGAGGTGCGACTGCCCAAGGCGCGCAGGGTGCCCAGGGCACCAAGCAGAACAAGCAGCCGAAAAACAAGAATCAGGGGGCATCTACTTCCATAGAAGACATCCGGGGTGTGCGCATTGGAAAGGTGTGGCTTCTGCACTGATATCTTAGTTTCTGGGCACTTCGTAGAGGAATGAGGTTGAATGAGAGCCAAAGTGCACAATCGCTGGGGTACAGCAGTGGGCTCTTGTCAACTCCTGGATAACTTGCACATTTAGGGTTTCAAACTATGCAGAGGTTGCACTGCCAGCAGCTACGTCGATTGTCGATCATGCCAATGCCCAACACTATGCCCCAAAGATCACCAAATGGAGTTCCACACGATTGGCATGTCTTGGTTTTGCTATCTGTTGAGAAAGAACAATTGTGGGATCTGGTCTTGGGGTGGCCGTTTACTGTGTTTATATTGGTGTATTAGTTGCTGTGGTGGGCTGACTCAATTTCTGCTTGTCCCTAGGCCCAACAACTGCGCGAAGCTGGCCAAGAGCCTTATGCGTACAGCTTTGACAGAACACACACTGCACAAGAACTCCAGGTATGAAGTACGCAGGCCACGATTTCAGCTTGGCTCTATTTCACAAGACTTCTGGATGGTTGAATATGCCGCCCAGTTTGTGGGCCACCCACCCACACACATTTCGGCATCGTTTCTTCATTGCTTGCTTTTGGTAGATGCACATGTTTACCTGCTCGTTGGTGCTTTGCTGGTTCTGACATGGGGCCTTCAGGCCCATCAATGGATCATCCACAGACTCCCAGCAATCCACAGTCATCCAGGGATCCTCCTGCCACCATTTCTCAGCTGGGCTTTGCCCCTTGCTGTGTGTAGATGGAGCTTTCCTTTTCTTTTCTTTCCTTTTCTTTGGGCCTTTACTTAAGAAATACAGGGTCCAGATTCCTGTACTTTGGTTGGTTTTGAGGTGCCAGAACATCAAAAGCATGTCCTGGCCAAACATGGTGCAGAGGGCATAGCTTTCATCGTGTCACTGGTACCTGAACCAGTTAATTAGAACTCAGGGAACGTCATGATGCATGTTTGCACCTTCCCTGTGATGGCACTGGTGACCAGATAAGACAAGGCCTAAGAGTCGACCACAGCAAGGGATGTGGCATCTTGGGCAATGACATAAACCCAGCTGGTTGAAGCCCTCCTCTCTGGCATTTGGGACAAACTGACACCATTCATCCATGAGCGATAGCCTGCTCATGGCCATCAATTCATGTGCTCTATTTGTCAGAATGATGGACCATGGCCCTTGCACCTTCAGTTAGGTGCTGGAAAAATCCACTTGCATGATTCTGTTCACTATATTCCCTTTGCTTCAACGTGTGTGTGTCGTTCTCTTTGCTCAAATGTGATCAAAACGTCAACCACATGTGGCACAGATGAGCTGTGTGTGGTCAGTGACACTGTTTGACAGATGCTGAATCTGCAATTTTTATAGGACAAATATGCTTACCTTGGTGCTGGAGAGGGGGCGGAGCTCAATGATGAAGTCAGTGTTGCAGGGCGTATCATGGCATCCAGGGTCATGGGGAAACTTGCATTTGGGAGCCTGATGGATGAGAGTGGAACAATTCAGGTCAGTATGGACTCATGGTGAGTTGAACGTGTGCCCAGGGAGTTTGGCCTTGGTGGCAGATATGATTTGTTGTGAAGGTGGGAGATGCCGTGGGTGGTCGCCACGCACTGCTTCTACATCCCTACCTTTCAGCACATTAGAGGAATGTGTTTGGATAACAGCTGAGGACTGCCTTGCTTTCTGTGCTGTGGGCAGGACTTTTGCTTTCATCCTGGCATAGATTTGTCACAGGCCAGCTTTGGTGATGTGTTTGTTCAGTGTTGTGAATAACTCTGAGTATCTGCTTGCTAGACTTTGAGGTGATCTTAAAGTATCCACTGTGTTTCTACCTGCCAGCTATTTCTTTACAGTGCCCAGTCCAGCCACAGTGCTGGGCAGTTGGCACAGTGTGTGCACCTGAGATGATTTCGTGTGGCCATCTGTCAAGGGCACTCAGGGTTGTAAAATCAATGCAACTGCACATGTTGTGTATCTTTTCCTTGGGGACATTGTTTGTAACTCTATTGGAGGTTCCCCAGCGACCCCGCCTCCAGGGAGTGAAGTGGGAGCACCCATGGACTCAAATTGAATCCATGGGCTCAATTGTGTCAATACACTGGAATTCCAGAGTCAGAAGCAAGCCAAGCGCCTCTGAAACATGGAGGTCGGCACTGCACAAAGCATATATTGTGGGCAGCTGTAAGTGCATCAAACCGTCCCGGAATCAACAACTGCCCCTCCGCAGTTTTTCTGCCTACGTTGGCTCAGCTGCGCACGACTCCACAGTTGCTTGTTGACACTGGAGAGGATTTCTTATCAAGAAATGGTCTTGTCGATGCAGCTATACATTGAAAAGAAGCAGTTGGAAGACTCACAGCCAGGCGGTTACCAGCAGTTGAAAAAGCTGATCGATGTAGGGGACATCGTGGGAGTCCGTGGCGGTATAAGGAAGACTGAGCGGGGCGAACTGTCTGTGGTGGCAACCACCCTAGTTGTCTTGTCAAAGTCGTTGCGACCGCTCCCAGACAAGTGGCACGGCCTCACAGATGTGGAAAAACGGTACAGGCAGCGTTATCTGGATCTGATTATGAGTCCAACAGTGAGAGATACCCTCCGATCGCGATCGAAGACGTTGTCCAACATTCGAAGATTTTTGGAGACAAGGGGCTTCCTTGAGGTGGGGCTTCCCTGGTTGCGTGCCACGGGTCTGGTTGTGGGAATTGCTGAGTGGGTCTATGGGTTGGTGGCCTGTTTTGGAGACTGTAGCCTGCTTCCACTTGAACAGCTGACGTGTTTCCTGGGAGCTTTGAGCAGCTGGGGTTACTTAATGTCGTCCAGCTGGTTTCAGGAGTTGAAACAGAGTCTAGGTGTGCGCCACATCCTGGACAAGTGTCTTTATTGGGCTCTGGGGGTGCAGCAACGTGCTGGCCAATTTTGTTTTCAAATATACCCGGTAGCGCCTGAACTAAATATTTTGTGCTGCGCGAAAGGTGGAGACACCAGTGCTGGAATCACTTGCTGGAGGAGCTGATGCAGAGCCGTTTGTCACGTACCACAACGCCCTCTCAAAAACTCTCACGCTCAGAATTGCAACAGAGCTTCATCTGAAACGAATGGTGGTGGGTGGCTTCGAAAAGATTTTTGAGATCGGGCGAATTTTTCGAAATGAGGGTGTGTCCACACGGCACAATCCAGAGTTTACATCAGTGGAGTTGTACCAAGCGTACACAGACTATGAGGACATGATGGATTTAACAGAGGAGATGATTAGGTCCTGTGTACAGGAAGTTCGTGGACAGATGGAAATTGAGTACCAGGGACAAATCCTGGATTTTTCTGGTCCTTTCCAAAGAGTGTCCATGGAGGATGCTGTGGAACAGCACGTTGGCATCGACCTCAGTGTGTACAAAAACGAAGAGAATGGAGGACTTGCTGAAGCCAAAGTTGCCCTTCAGAGCTCTCTCAGCGAACACAACATTGGCACGGAGGGCATGAACAAAATAGCTGGGGCGGCCACGCTGGGCCTTTTGATCAACGAGGTGTTCGAGGAGGTGGTTGAGGCAAGGCTATGGCAGCCAACTTTTGTTGTGGACCATCCCCTGGATATCTCGCCGCTGGCAAAGCCCCACAGGAGCAAGCCTGGCCTTGCAGAGCGCTTCGAGCTCTTTATCGCAGGTGGGACAAGGTAAACAGCACCTGCTCTTGTAGCTCGTGGACATGTGTGCTGAACTCGGTGGCAATATACTATCATGGCATATGCTGTGAGATAGGTGTTGGGAGATGCACACACACACACACACACACACACACACACACACACACACACACACACACACACACACATGTAGCTACTGAAATGTTTGATACAGTGGCAAGAGCCATGCGACCAGAAGCCCAGTAAAGCTGAGGTGGCTCGCAAATTGCGCATCGTTTCTGGAGCGAGTTGTGCCACAAGACGAATATCTAGAATGCTACGTATGAAAGAGCTGCAGGTTCCATGCAGTTTCACGGAGGTTTCCTAGCTTGATCGGAATGATGGATGCCTGAGTGGCACCTGATGCCTGCTGGAATGTCTTGTTACTGCAGAAAGATGATGCGTGACAGTGCAAAACTTAGTGCGACTGTATTGACGTGTCACACGTTGCACATCCTCTCTACCTTCAAAGCTTGTGTGTACTACTATTGCTAGATCAGCTGCTCATTGATACAGAAAGCCAATTTGCTGATCCTGCATTGGTTACTCGTCTGCAGGAATCATTTTCTGGCATCTGCCGTTTCATCGTGATTCATTTACATAACAAGGGAAGGAGGTAGCCGATTCATAGGGGCTTGCAAAGCACTGTCAGTTGCCCACACGATGTGCTTGGTCGCACACAGCTGGTCCCAGGCGGTTGTAGGTACATTTCGTCTTGCTGAATTGAGCAGCCAAGCCCAAAAGCATCTTCTGCAATTAGTGAAGTTGTGTGTGTGGCTGCAATTCTTTTGTTGTGGGCTTGCGCAATGTGTGCTCTTGAGCTTGTGTTGAATGTTACGTTGGCGTGCATGCAGGCCGTGAACTAGCGAACAGCTTCTCTGAGCTGACTGATCCCTTGGATCAGAGACAAAGGCTTGAGGCTCAAATGCCTCAACAACGGCAGCAGAAGTTGAGAACGCAGCAGGAATCATCGAACGGATCGGCTGACGGCACGGCCACCAAAGGGCTGGACTACCAAGTACGATTGAAATTCGGTTCGACTCTGTCATCATTGGTGTTGTTCATCACTGTGAATCTACGGCTACCTCCTTCGCTTTTCTCCGGAAAGTTTAGCTCATCAATGAATTTACAATTGAATGTCATGTCACCGCCACATGCAATAACAATCAATTCTTTCTGTCCTCAATGTAGGCGCCCACAAAAGGGCCACTCCTGAAGTCGTTCCCGAACCGGCCGGTCGTTCAGACCCAGAAACTGGGAAGGTACTCTGTTGATATGTGTCAGTGCGTGCTTGAGAAAAACAGTCACGTCTGTGCTCTCTGCTGAGGTCCATGGTGACTGACACCCGTCCGTTTGCTTCAGATTGGCGTTGACGAGGACTTCCTTTTGGCCCTGGAACACGGGATGCCTCCTACTGGCGGCATGGGCATGGGGATCGACCGTCTTGTCATGCTACTAACGGACAGCCCGAGCATACGAGACGTCATCGTGTTCCCGCTCCTGAAGTAGCAACACGGGCTGCTGGTAGCACTGGCTACTTGTTGGTTCAAGATTCTTACGGATTGCGATGATGAGCTGGGCAATGGATTAATAATTGATATTGTGAAGCTGATGCCTGTAGGCTTTTGTGTAAACACTCTGATAGCATCTATCCAATCGGTTGAAAGGCTCAGGCGCATGCAAACCCATGAAAGCTGAAGGCTGAGGCCAATGTCGATTCCTGGATTGCTCGCGAAATGTTTGTGCTGGCCAGTGGGCTCTGAACGATTGCCGCAACGAAGCTCATGCGGGTGGGTGCCTGTGAACTGCCCATGACTGTACAGTTGAAATGTGCTGTGCACGCAAGAAACTGCAACGGGCTGATCGCTCCCATTTTACCATCCAGACCAGAAGGGACATCGTGCACCGTATTTCTCTCCGCACAGCTGCAAGGGTGAACAACCAGCCGCCTCTACCCAGAAACAACGAAAAAAGTGATTATCTTCCCACCATCGGAGGAAGCCAACCATCGTGCGGCACGCCGTTGATCGGGCAGTCGACCCCCAAGTTAATGGCCCTCCCCGCACGCATTAGACACCCCAGAGGCCCAGCGCAGGCACCTCCCAGACATTCGCGGCGGGCGCGGACCCCCAGTGACGGGCCCGAACAAAACGCAACCCTGCACCCGGACGCCCGCCCGCATTCGTGCCTCCCCGCTTCGGCCCGTTCGCCGCACGAGTTGGTCGTCCCGGTCTCGGGCCGCTCGCAATGCGCTTTCCGGTCGGGATGCCCCGGGCCGCACCAATGGGCGTCCAGGGGCGACAGATCTGCTGGGCCGCATCGCCCTGCCGCTGCCGGCGCCGCTCGCTCCTGCCCAGGTCGCCCGGATGGATTGGCATCCGCCCCGGGAGCGCGCGCGGGGCGGGCAGCGAGAACCCCGACGCCATCAAGAGCATGACCAAGGAGGAGGCCCTGGCGGTGCTGGGGTTGGGATCCTACACCAATTTCGAGGACGTGGTGCGGGCCAAGAACCGCCAGCTGTCCGGGAGTGGGGTGGACGAACAGAAGCAGCAAGAGGTCGGGAGGGGGAGGGGTGCCGGGGGGGGATTGCCATATTACGGGGTTCTGTCGCGTGTGCGCGTCCGCGTCAGGGGCGTCGTGAATGTTGGCTTGATGGGCCCGTTGGGCTGCGGTGATTCCATGGCGCCGTGGCTTGTGCGGAAACTCTCAAGTCGTGCTGCCATCGGGATGGGGGACAACTGAACGGCATGTGCCTTGTGTACAACAATCTGTGACTGACGTGCGTCGCAGTTTCGAATGGGTCCTGGGGACACAATGGGAAAGGATCGCTCCACGTGGCGATGTCGACAGCAGTTAGCACCTGCTGGACGATGCTTCCCCTGAGTGCCGAAGGGTCGTCGGGGAGTTGCTGTTGTATTGTGCCTTCCTCATTGGGTGAATGACAGGAACACGAGTTTTCGCCCCAGGTCGAGGCAGCCTACGACTTGCTGTTAATGATGAGCATGAGGAAGAGGGTGACTCAGGGCGAGGCAGTCCCGACCAGCGTACGATTTGCTGACGTCCCACAGCAGCCTAACCCTGCCGAAAAGGCGAGTGTCCTCTCCTGGATATCCTTTGTTGTCCCTTCAGTGGCCTCGTGGCTGGAATTGGCCACAATAGTCGACGCCAGTCGTTCCTCACCCATCAGCAAGGACACTTGTGCCGTGCTGTGCCCTTGACGCTGGGCATGAGGTGCATGCCCCTGGGGAACGACCTGGAGTGGCTGAATAATTGCAGCAAAGAATGCAATTGGCACCCCACCAGACGACTGGATGGCAAGACTGTATTGCATTGTTTGAAAGGCAATCCAGAAGTCTCTGGAAGCCAGGTGGAAGAACACGACACTGTGCAGTGTGCATCACAACGATGCACACACATAGAACCTGAAAGGAGAAAAGACTCTGTTGGAGCAGTTACTGGAAAGCAACGACCGCAAATGTGCAGTATTTGGATGCTGCTGTGCCTGTCGTTTCCTGGTGAGGTCCAGAGGCTTGTTTTTTCTGTGTTTCTGACAAATATCACAAATGGACTCCAAACCTGCAAAGCGATGGCAGTCCCAATTCAACCAACAGTTGAGTTTTCAGAATCAGGATTCATGTCCTTGGGCTGGAAAGAATCGCTGAAAAAATTCCCAGTTCTATTCAATGCCTTTTGAACCAAGGGACTTTTGTGTGCAAATGGGGAGTTAGGCACAAGAATTCCTTCGCCAACTGCCTGCGGGTGGCGTCAGTATACAGGCTCCCACGCAAAGCGGACTGGTCAACAACGCGCTGGTTTTTGTGCCTTTGGTGACCTGGGCATTTCTACAGGTGAGTTGGAGCAGTTTGAGTGTCTCGTATTAAGTCCACAGTTGTTTGTTGCGTGGACATGTGACTTGAACCTTCAACATGGGTTGGAGGGTGTACCCTTGTGAGCCCACTTTCTGCTTGACATGTCAGGATTCGCCCATAGCATATGATCTGATTATCTGCTGGTGAACTTGTCCAATGCCAGTGCACAAGTGCATATGTTGTAAGGTTGCATATTGGACGTGTGGCAGGGGCTGATATTGCCTGAAGACTTCCCAGGTGACATTGTCCCTGGCATTCCTATTGCGATTGGAGCGATCTGGACGCTCTACTCCTTCAGGGAATACAGAATCATGAAGATGGGTGAGTCACACTGACAGGGTGCATGCATCGACATGAGACAGGAATTTTTTTCTCGAGCTCCAAGATCTGTCATTTGACTTGGATGCAGTACAGGCATGACAGATTAGAAGTGTCTCAAAGGCTTAATCGTGTGCTTTTCATGATACACAGCTGCAGGCTGTCACAAGAATGGAGAACCAGTTGTTGGCAAGTATGGGTAGGAACAAGAAGCTCAGATGCCTGAGTGGTGGCCATTGGTGGGAATGTATGGTTTTGTCCCTGCGCTCACAAGTGCAAGTCAGGCGTGTTGTTAGCTCCAAACAGTATCCTAATATTGTTGCTTACTTCAGAGTACTTTGTAGTACTGTTCTTGCTTTGTACTCTGCAACTGGCTATAGGCAAACAAGAATCCACAGTGTTTGAACATCTCCAGGCGCCACTTGGAGCACTGGGACCGCCTGGGTCCGTTGTTGGCTTTTGCTCCAACGTCTTGACGTCATCTGAGCGCATCTGTGGACTTCAGAAAACGGACTGCACTGCCAGTTCTCCCTGCATGGCGCCCAACCCCAGCCAGAGCAATATTCTTTATATAAATAAGGGCAATGCATACAAGTCATGTTGTTGAGATCGTTGTGCCTGTGCAGGCAAGGCATTTGGCTACACCTGTGCCAGCCTTTTGTTTGGCGCTGTGATCGGCGGCTTGCTCGAATCTTTGGTCAGGGTGGATTTGCATCCTTTGGGGGTAAGCACGGGGCAGACGTTCCTGATCTTGAATGCTGCCTGCAGCAAAGATGGTTAGCGATGTCCATCTGTGCACGTTCCTACCTGTGTGGGTCCAGTTGTGTTGCCTCTTGTCCCCCTGAGAATACATCCCCCCGGCCTTCACTGTGGTCACAAGTCTGGTGAACACTTCTTTTCCTGTTGAATAATAGTGGACATCCAAATTGAGGAGTGAGGCAGAAAAACAAGGGTGCCATTTATCAGAACTCCTGCATGGAGACCACCATGGGAAACAAAGCTGAAAAGGAGGTCCTGTGCTGAACTTATTTTTGTCAACTGCGTGCAAAGCACTTTTCTGAACACACCGGCGTGCACGTGTGGTGTATTGTCCTGAGTGGCTTGTGCCATCTCTGCACTCTGAATAATTCCGAACAAGATGCTCGGGTTTGTGCCAAAGGGTCCCCCCCAACTACATTGGACATTTCAGGCACCAAGGTCCATTCTGTGACCTCCACTGCAGGCCTTTCATTCGCCCACCACGTTCGTTGGCGAGTTCGCACTGTTGAGTTTGTGGGCTTCTGCAACGTTGCTTGCTTGAGTCATGATGTTCTGGCTCAAGCGGAAGGTGGGCTAAGCGTCACAGCGCGACAAACCATGGGGCCACACGTTGATGCAACGAGGAAGGCGTGCTTTCAGCAACTTCTTGCTTGCATCTGTGGGCTGGTGACTGGGTAGGACCGTCAGCCTTCTGTACTTGTGCATGTGCTGCATTAAACAAGATTGGCCTTGTAAATTAGACATTCTCTTGGGCTGGTTTAAAACGAGGTAGAGTAGGTGACAGCCCCACTGGTGGGCAACGCAAAACGATGGAGTGGTTGTGTGGACCCTATGCAATGTGCTGAATGCTCGTGTAGAAACCCTTCTAAGCTGTGTTGCTGAACCACAAGGATCAGCAGTTTTTCCCAAGGGTCAGACTGGGAAGTGCCAGGGTCAAGGCCAGGGGTGCGGCAGCTACCGGGTTGCGCGGTCATGGCAGTGTACGCGCTGCTGCACAGTGCTCAGGTCTGCTGTAGGCAAAGCTTGTAAATCTCACTGACTTCAGAATGCAAGTGCTCGTCGAATTGAAGGTGAAACAGCAGGGGGGGTGTTCAAAGACTGCACAGCGGCTGCTCTGTGGGTTTGTGTGGTATGTAGCTGTGGAATGTTCTTGCTGCAGTGCTGTTCGTGCTACACCAACCGTTATGTGGACATCTTTATATAGACAGGGTTAGTCATTTCAGTGTTGGACGCTCAAGAGCCATCCTTCTCCTGCCGCTGGTGTAATGGTACTAGTATGTGCGATTGCGTGTGTTGGCATGTCTCCTCCTGCCGCTCTGTACTTTGTTGAAGGGTGTTGATGGGCGTGTGCTGCAAGGCAACAGCACGCACAAATCTTGTGTCTGATGCGCTGGGTCCTTTGGTGTTTGGCGTGTGCATCTCTGATGGAAAGTTTCCCTGCATACACCAACGCAATTTCTGTTGGGCCATTCCTTGCTGAAAGAAGCGCAGATATTTTTGTGATCGGAGCACAGATCATTTTTCTGCAAGTGTAGCAGGCTGGTCACAAACAGGCAGCCTAAAGAAGAAGAAGGACAAAGCCATGCCAATGGGAGAGCTGCCGGGTGGCAGCCCAGCGAGAACCAGCTGGAGGCAACGTAGCTGACGACAGGCCGTCCGTCCTGTCCACGAGTCTTAATGATATCACGAAACCGCTTTGTCCGATTGGAGAAATCAAACAAAAACACCCAACCGCTCTTCTTCCCCATTAACAGCTGGATGCCCGAAATCACCCCGGCGCGAATCGATGTCGCTGCGGGCTTGCCCTGTTCCAAGGCGGACAACCCCGTCTTGAAATTTCAGTCAGGCCGCGCTGCCTTGAATTCAGTCGGCCCCGGTACAGGGCGGCGCTGCTGCGGATCACACCCGAGGTACATATCGGAAGTACAGCCTGACGCACGCGGCTACGACAGATTATTCCGCTGAGCACCGGCGGCCTCCCGGTGAGTGCCTTCCACCCGAAGCACCAGCGTACCGGAGCGCAACCTCGAGTGAACCGCGGGACACGATAGAGATGCGCGGCAGGCGGCGCAGCGAGACTTCCGCTGCCTAATCCCCCCTTCGGCACCATCGAGGGCGAGCGCCTAGGCGCCCACCCCTGCCTAGAGCTTGCCTCCGGGGACCAGTCCGGCCCTTTCACGCTTGTCGTCAGGCTGGGCACCGGCATCAGGGACGCCTCGTTGGCCGGTCTCGGCCACCCCCTTTTATTCTGAGGGGCTGCGGGACACATCGGGGTGTGACAAGAGCGCCCTGGACGGCCGGGCGCTTTGCGATCGCAGCTGTAGTTTGGCCCACGGACGACGCCTGCTGGCAATCGCGGCGCGGGGCGCTCCGCGGCGTTCTGGCGAACGCCGCGGTGCCCTGCCGCCTGTGAGCGGCACGCGGCCGTTCTCTTGGCATGTCTTGGCGTGGTGGTGCACAGCTGTGTTGTGGTGCTTGTCGTGTGGCTGTGTGAGGGCCCAGGTGAGGCGCCGCGTTCCTTTTCTGGGACCTGAGAGCCCCTGACCCCATGTCGCGAGATCCAACCCGTGCTGTCGAACTCCTGGCGGCCGTGGATCTCTCCGCCACAGCCGGCGAAGGCGCCGATTTGATGAAAGGACGGAACGCACGGCGAAGAGAGCAGAGTCCGTTGGGGCAGCGATTTGGCCCATTGTATTTCAGTAGAACTGCGCTTGCGGCCGCTGTGCGTAGCGCGCTGCCGCTAGACGTCTTTGCCACCGCTGTCACCGTCTTCGCGTTTCAAGTCGTTTCGTTTCATTTTGATGATCGCGTGTCTGCGGTCTATCGACGCTTCGGATGGCTGCGCCGCAGGTGGCTCGACGCCCCAGCCCTTCAGATGCGCCAGTGTCCGGCCCAAGCGCGACAAATCAGGCCTGCCTCACCTTTTTGAGGCGGTCCAGCGCCGCTCAAATGCAGGCGCGAGCGCAGCAATTCGATGTGACCGTTGGTAAATGGACATCCCGAGAGATGCAGGATGAGAAAGGGGGGATGGTTTTGTTGATGAAGACAAGTTGGCCGGCGCGGGTATTGCGTTCCGCGAGGGGCTTTGGGGCGGCTTTTGTGCTTTGGACGAGTTGGCACCGGATGCATGATTTCGAACCCATCTGGGCTGATCGAGAAGGAGATGGCGGATTGGTGGGAGGAGTGGCAGTTGGTTTGAAGGCAGAATTCTGACTTTTGATGGTGAACGGGCGTTTGCTCGCCCCAGGGCTACCCTACTAAGCCTCCAGGACAAGACATGCTTAGAAGCGGGACATTTTGTCAGTGATCGCCTCAGAATGTGTGCGTGTCTCCATTTCAAGGGCGTGGGTCTCAGTGTCTCACACATCACCAATTCCAAGGGTTTGTGCATTTTTGTGTGACCAAGTTTCAACCACGGATCTTTCTGGGGGCTGGTAGGAACGCTAGCTTAAAGGGCAAGCACGAGGGTAAATGATGTTAACAAAGGGAGCAAGCTTGAAGCTTAAGCAAGGTCGAAAGGGTTCATTTCATGTGACTGTGGAGTCAGCGACGCTTGAAGGGGCAGCCGGCTTGCAACAATGAGAAGAGTCTTCATGGGGAAGCGGCACCATTTTTCTGAACGAGTTGCTCAGGGACTCGACAGATTCAGGGTGAGTCGTTTCCTCCCGATATTGAGCATTTGTATAAAGCGCACTGTGTCCTGTGGGTGGGATTTCTCAGTGGCGGAATGGTTTTGGAGGACACCAAGAAAAAAAGAAAGTAGCGGGTTGCTTTGTAAGTCCCAACAGCACTTTTGAACCATTTCAAAGGCTCACCTCCATCTTAGGACACACCACTTGGGCAGCCTGACAGTGGGAAGTTTGCAGTGGTGGCATGATATGTTGGTTGTTGTCGGGCTGTTCACAGCGGTTAATTTGTGGGGATGGAGAGAACCTGGCACATTAAACTAAGTTCGTAATCAGTCGATGTTTGAAGGGGTCAGCCATCAAGTGTGGCCTTCAGGATGCACACCAGTGTGACGTCAGGCGCTATCCATGGATGGACGCCCACGCTTGGTTGCAATAGTTGGGGCCGCGAAAGGGTGATTTTGGTGCTTCTATTGCCAGGCCAGAGTCATCATCGGGCATCGTGTCCCATTGGCTGTGGGGCACATGCAATCACGAGTTTGCGCTCATTTGACCCTCACAGCAATGTCAAGGGGGGCGGGCAACATCCCAGCATTGCCAAGTTTTGTTGCACACCCTGGCCTGCGCGGAAGGGCTCATGCATGCACAAGGCCAAGGAATTGTCCACAGTGAAGGAATTTTGTTAGGTGCAGGAATGGCAGTTCACCCCTCCAGTTTGAGAAGCTCTTCCTGTGGAGTGGGCCATGGCATTGATGGCAGAACATTTGGCACTGTCCTTTCTGTCCGCACCTGCTGGCTTTCAAGTGCCACAGAAGATTCTCAGACTGGGAGGGGGGAAAGTGGTGGCAGGAAGAATTTGTGAGTCGAGCATGGCTCCCTTACTGACAGCAGAATTTTTGCAGTAGCTGTAGCCGGGCGTTTCACTCTGCAGAGGTCGTGCTTGGCCAGGAAGTGACCAGCAATCACCCAGCTTCCGATGACTTTGGGCCCTCGATGGCCCACATGCCCGCCTGCGTTGTGACGATTTGTTATGGGGGCAAGGGGCATCATTTTGCATCCTTAGTTTCACGGTGTGCTTTCACCAAGAGAGGCACTCAGTCATTCAGTTGGCCAGTCTCGATTTGAGCCTACCGTTGGATCAGTGGCGGGACGTTGCGATGGGGAAAGGCACCCTTCGAGACTGGTTCCCCTGTCAGGCCAAATACTTTTGGTTTCACAGAGGTTGTGTCATCACGTTGTGTGATACGTGCGTGGGTTTTCTGTGTGCTGTATTCGTGTATGTGTTTGTGTGTGTTTGTGTTGTGTTTTGTGTTCTCATGGTTACATCTGTACCCTCCCCTTCAGCAGCACTGCCTGCTCGACAGTGGTGGCATGTTAGGATGGCGAGGGTGTTGAGCAGGTGCAGGTGAAAGAGGGGGCCCTGGGTCCCAGGGGAATAACCATGAAAGAGTTGGGACTGAAGCCTTCATGGATGCTTTGCATCCTGCAGGGAAGCACGTTGTACAGGCCACTTAGTTTTGCGATGTTCGGGGTGTGAGGGTCTGTGTCTGATGGGACATGCAGGATTCGGAACCAAGAGACAGTGGGGTTGTTTTGCGGCTTGGATTGCAAAGAAGCATACCCAGCCGCCAGGAGGAATATGCATGTGTTGCTTTGTTGTCCTGGGCTCTGACGACGACAGTGAATAAGCAGACTGAAGCAAGCATCCAGACTGTGCAGAAATAATGCTGCAAAGCGCCATCTTGGCTGGCGGATGCTTCCTTGTCTGGTCACAGAGCTCAGTTGACTGATGAAGTGAGGAGCAGGAGATCTGGACAACTTGGCTCCTCTCACAAGTCTCAAGAGAGGCAGATGGTGGTGGGGGTGCCTTGAACAGGGGAGATGGATTTGGTAGGCGGTGGCGATCATTTCAGTTTCCTCAATTTCGCCACGGACGTGGCGAAGGAGGGATACGGGCGTTTTCAGACACCAAGAGCAGATGGCGGAGTGCTGCAGTAGGTGCTTGCTGCATAGTGAGCGGTACGCAGCACCGCAGTCCTCAGCACACAAGGTAAGCAGCCCGCTCGCCTCTGTTGTCCACAATAGCAGCTGTGCACCACCATGGCCTTTGTCTGTTGTTGTCTGCAGTGTTCTGTGTGCTGTGTATTTCCTTCCTTACAAGGCATCACCTCCATACTGGTTGGGCTTTGCAAGGTGCTCGTATTACGAATACACGTGCAGGACCACAGTTTTTCTGCAGGAGCCAACTCGCACCATAGTGTTTCTGGTGAAGACAGCCTGCTGAGAGGAGGATTCCATTACAACAGCTTCCTGAAGGTGAGAGACAGACGGCACACATCTGAGTCCACTGTGATCTTAGTGCCCCACCTTCCGGGAATTGCGTTGTGGTGGTGGATTCCACAGGAATTGGTGGCAAAATGTGGGCTCGAGCAGTCACCAAAGGCCAGCCACTCACACTTGACATGTGGTAAAGAGATGTGTTGCTGGGGTGCAATCTCTGGGAGCTTTGTGGGCAACAGGTCCCTTGTGTGCCACTGTTGATGGCATACTGGCCACACATTCCCCCTTGTACGTTCTGTGAATGGTTTACCCATGCATGTGTAATTGCCACGGAGTCACTACCTGGTGTCGGCAACAACTGGTTTGACAGTATTGTGGCTAGCCCTGAGTCAAACACTCATGCAACTGTTCTGCTTCTTCACTTATCCTACCCCCAGCTGGCCTTCAGTCTTTCAAGGTGGGAGGAAAGCGAGATAGTGCTGGGATTTTGTGCTGGTGCAGAGACAGCTGCATCGTGTTCATCCCTTGACAGCCCCACTTCCCCTCCGCCATACCCAAGGTGAAATGGCCATAACCCGCCACTGCTCCTCAGCGGCCTTTAAGTTCTGCCGACACAAGCACAGAAAGACAGATATCGTGGTGGGACACAAGGATTGGATTGTTGACAATAGATCAGAATCCACCCAACAGCAGATGTTTTCAGGCATGGAGCACGCGTGCCTTGGTCAAGAGCACAGCATCAATATCCCGGGGGTAAATTCTGCTGAGTGTGTGTAGTCAGACTGCGGCGCCGGCAGCTTCTGGCAGGTGACCATACAAGAGGCGCCACATGAATTCTCCTGAGCACATTTTTGCCAGCTGGTTATTAAGCCTGCATTTTGCGGCCTGCAGGCTCATACTTGCCCGGTAAAACCAAGCCATGTCTTCCCTTGAGTGGGCTTTGGTGCACTGATTCCTGAACCAGAATTGTGTTCCATTTTCTGGACCCGGTACATCCAAAAAAAGTTGTGCATGCCCGAAATCAGGGCAGATGGTACTTGGCGCACTGGCAGCGTCTGCCCGTGCATCCATATCGGAGTTGACAATATCTAAGAGAAGACAAAATTTGAATTTGTTGTGCTTGCTGCTCAGTGGACACTAAGTGTAAACCAGATCATGACACTAAGAGATCGTGGTAGTACAACAATATTTACAAAAGGCAGGGAGCGGTTAGAATGGCCTTCGCAGTGCACAATAATTTTCCCATGTACTTGCTTTTTAATGCTTAAGGCTGTTTCCATGTCAGGCATGACTATCTTGGTGGGCTGCTGTTGCCTAGGCGCATGGCCCCAGGATAGGGCAGCGAACAGGACGCGCAGGCCGTTGGCAATCCGGAGGACGTAATCTTGAAGATACAGAATGCAGCGGTCGGAGACAAATGCTCAGTAATGACTGACGGTGGCCTTGGAGGTCAGTGGCTTGCAGTTTCTGGGTCATCTGCTCCTGAATTGACGATCAGCGCATGGAACAACGGGAAGCGTGTGGCACAGAGGAAGGCGGGCAGGGTGGCCACTTTGTATCGATTGTTTTTGGGATCGTGTTCACGCAACGCACGCGGACAATTGTTAGCGGTTGGTGATGGCAGCTGGCAGTGCCTCTGATTATCGTCAATGGTCGAAATGGCCGTTGTATGGCGCAGGAGGTGTGATGAGCGGTGCTGGAAAACGTCAGGCGCAATTGGGGCAGGCTTTCCTGCTGTGTGGATGGCGTTGCGCTCACCCAGTCATTAATCACAGCAGAAGCGCGTCGTGACGATGAAGGAACGAAATGAGCACAAGCCGACGAACGAAACTGGCGTGGACATTGTAAGCATCTCAACTGGCAGTTGGTGGGCAGGTGGCGCTCAGGCTGCCATGAGTGAATTCACAGTACTGTGGGAATAGGCATCTTGATTTGACAATTGGCATCCTCGTGGACTTGTCCCATTAACCCATCGACTCGCACGGGCGTATACAGGACATATTGTTCACTTCTATGGCACCCCCTTTTCCTTAGTGCTGTGGTGCAAGTGTCCGTGTGCTTATTTTGGCACTTTGGAAATTGCGTTGGCCAGTCTCTATCCCCGCTCAGATGTGGCCTCGGCATGATCCCTACATCTCCCATTGAGCGATCACAGAGCACGTCGGTCGCCAATCAGTGATTGCAACCAAGGCGCGCTGGCCTGTCGCTAACTTCCTACTCACGACACTACGAATCGCCATGACCCTGTCCGCTGCAAAGTTCAACGTGGACTCCAGGCTTCCCACCCATTGCAATCTCGCTGTCGCATCCCAAGCTTCGTTGTCTCTGATGTCATACAGATGCGTGCATGGTACTCCACCAGCGACTAAAGACGAAACGCAGACGATGCCCTCTGCCATTGACAAGCACATCACCCCATCATCACTGGCGCCTCCTTGCTCCCGATGCACCTCAAGTCTGCAAAACCACCCCAGCGCGCAGCCCGACACACAGACTAAAGGTCAGCTTGCGGTCATGTCTGCCCTTTGAGGGCCACAACCCGAGGGCAAGCTTCACCTTCGGTTCCCTTGCCACTCCCGTTGGTTTCACGGTTGCTCAGCAACCATCGCTCGTCATCTGAGCCAGGCCAGTGCGGTGATTTGTGCCACATCCCAGTGCGCTGAGGCAGCCGGATCAGCAGGCTCTCTCGGGAAAGAGCTCCGCCATGCATGGGCGCCACTCCACTTTGTCACCATCTCAACATGGTCCTAACAACGGACACGCCTTGCCTAAAGACGCCTTCTGATAATGATTGTCATATCTAATGAGCACGACACCAAGCCCCCCGGTAAGTGACCGCAAGCTCTTGCCACTGATGCACGACACTGACAAAAGATATCAGATCTGGTGGCAGTACTGTGATAATACTGCGATAATACTGTGATACAGCAGCACTTGCACGACAACAAGCGCCTCATGTCTTTGTGCACAAACAGAAAGATATGGCCTGCTACTAGCTACCAACAATACAGCTACTCTGACCTAAACATTTATTTCAGCGATCCACGCAACTGCATTAAGGGGATTAGCGATGATAATTCAGCGTAGTTAACGAGTTTCTAATAAGGGAGGTGTGGGTGGGATGGAGAACACGTCAGCAGCCTTGGCGGGTGACCACACGGGGCGGTCGCCCTGGCCGGCGCCCGATCTCGAGGCCAGGTGGTGGAATGAACGAAAGCCGGGAATTTGTATCTGGCATGCTTTTTAATGGAGCCACAGCTGGGTGTTTGAGCGGGAAAGACTTGGCGCAATTTTGGGTTCCGTGGGTGCCGCCCATTTATGGGTGGCGCCCAAGACTGTCTCCACTCTGTTTTGCGCTTCTGCCCACCCATCCCTAAGAATGTGATTTCGGATTGAGGGAGGAATCAGTGAGACATAAAGTACTGGGGAAAGTGCTATGGTCTAACTCAGACCGCCTAAGTCGCGGTGCAAGAGCAAATTTTGGTACGACGGTCATTGGGCTTCGTGTTGGGTGACGGACACCGGGGAGAAATTCTGTAACGTGCCTGGCCGGTGTGGACTCCGGCGGAAAGAGTATCCTGTCGGGCAGAAATACAGCAATAATATCGGGAAAATACTTTCCTGATGTATTTTTGGGTTGGACGCATGTAACATGCGCCTGTGCAAAGATATTCCGGCACTCCCAGAATGCATTTCAGAAACCCCTTTGAATGCAACTGCCTTGGTGGCGGGCTCACGCCGTCCCCCACCGTGAGAGCATCGGCAATGATACGACTTAAGCCAGCGGCACGCATAGGTGCGTAAGTGGCCTGACAGATGCTGGTAGATATGCATAAACTTGGAACTTTGGGCAGGGAGGGCGCTTTGCGACGCTGCACTGCGGCAGGCAACAAGCGGCACAGAGTCAACTTAGGGGTTGGATGCACTGGGGGGCGGAGGACAGTAGCAAGATGGAGTTTTCCGGCTGAGGGTTTCGCAGTACTGTCAGTAGGTGCTGCGCGGGCAGCAACATGCGGATTGGTATTTAAGGGAGTCCTGAGCTCAGCATTCGTTGAGCGCAAAGTGATTTAAACGAGGACAGTGTTGCCAATGATCAGCCCAGTGCCGTATTTGACTTGCCTCAAGTGAAATAATAAGCAGCTAACGTCGTCAATGATGGCCAAGTCCGGGGCCGTAAGGAGCGCAATTGAGGTTGCTGAAATATCTAAGTCTAAGAAACAGGCGCCTGCTCCACAAAATTGTAGCTGTCGAACCCCAGCTTCAGAGGCCATGTGTCGCATGCTCGCTGCGTGTGGGCAGGGGGTTGAACGCTGCGAGTGCATGGGGCCATCCGGGCCAGGCTGCGAGGAACTGGTGCTGGGCACAGCGGAGTTCAGAGCAGCCATCGCGGCGCGGGAAAATTTTGATGCACATTGTTGACGCGTTCCGACTCCGTTTCCGCAGGAGGGCGCCGCCTGGCCAGCCATGCTCTTGGTCGATTCCCAGGATGGCGCTGAGCGGCGCGCGTCGGTCGAGTGCTGCCACAGGTTCGTGGGAGGGCCACGATGGCACGCGCGACTGCGTTGACTGCCTCCACCTCAAAAAGCGAACAACACAGTTCCGGGCGCAAGATTTGATTGTCCCCCGTCCGTTGGCTCGCTCATCTTTGCCCGGCGATTGCTGCATATTCCCCCGGCACCGGCCCAAGCCGCACAATCGCGCTGCGCCCCGGTCCAGCGCGGCGTGACGGGCGTCCGCGCTGGGTCCACAGCGGCCTCCTCGCCTTTGCTGAAAGTCGCCAGGTCTTGTCCCGATGGCGCGAAACTCGCCAGCCAAACGCCAAAAGCGCTCACAGCGGCGTGACGCGGGCGTGACTTTGTCATTGAGTAACCGTGCCCGGCCCTCACGCCCTCCGATGTTGGGCTGACGCCAGGCCACGTGGGAAGCGCACCGCGATGCCGCGGGCGGTATCTGAAACGGAATGTACGGAATCTGCTCACCCAACTGTTGCACCGCCGCAGGGGGTGGCGCGGGGCAACCCGCTTACAAATATCGTTGGCGGAGCAGCGCCTCAAGCAGAGGCGGACGCGCGTTTGGGACCGTAACTGCGAGCCTCGTCGGCGCGGGCGCTGCGACGATGTCCGTGGCGAAGGTGGCGAGCAGCGTGGGGATGGCCGGCCTGGCGCTGGCCGGGGGTGATCAGGCGCTGCTGCGCAAGGCGGCCACCACGGCGGTCGACCCCGTGGAGGGGGGGATCGCCAGCAGGCTGACGGCGGCCCTGATGGTGAGCGCGATGGGCGTTGATGGGCCGGCCAGGAGGGGGCCCTCGTGTGCGGAGTGGGCGCGAAAAGAATTGCCCCCTTTTGGCGCGGGGGGCGGTCCCGTGGGATTGTTGCTGACCATGGGGGACCGGTTGTGCGTCGCAGGCGCTGCAGAAGCCCGCCGCCGTGCCGAAGAACTTCTTCAGGTCGCTGATGGAGGACGGCCCTGGCGCGAAGGGGAAGATGCTGGCCGTGGGGGGCCACAGAGGGTGAGGAGTTGCGCGGAGGCCGCGACCGTGGCTGTGACCGTCCCGGCAGGATGGCCGGCCGAATGCCGGGCAACGGGTTGTGATGTGTAGGTTGGGGGGATATGTGGCTGCCAGATTTTGGCTCCGTCGACGCCGATTGGCCGAACGATGTGCGCGGGAACGACGATCTGCTGCCGCGGCGCTGCGTTCGCGACTGGGAACGGGATTGAGAGGGGGCGAAGGTCCCAGCCGAACGCTTCGTTCGCGCCGCAGGCGAGGCGTTTGACTGCCCGCTGCAGCCGCTGGCTGTGCGCCCCCTGGGCTGAGCGCAGGCCTCCCCCGTGTCCTCGTCCAATATTGCCGGGGACAGGTTGGCCCCGGGTGTAACCCGGCCATCACAAGGATCTGTGCTGAAACCGCTTCTGACGGGCTGTGTGGCTCTTGCGTTCGGCGCAGGATGGGCGAGAATCTAATGAACGATAATGAGCCGCTGGTGCTCCCGCCCCTGTGGCGGGAGAACACCCTCAAGTCGTTCGCCAAGGCGGGCGAGCACGGCGCCATATTCTGCGAATTCGATGTCCAAGTCACCAAAGACGGCGTGCCGGTTGTCTGGCATGACGACACCATCACATTCGGCTCCCAATCGCACCCCATCACGTGTGCCATCAGGGATCTGGAATTCAAGGAGTTCCAGGCCCTGGGGCCCAGGCCCACGGACAACAACGGCACCCTCAGGGAGCTCATACCGCTGCAGAGGCTGTTCCGGAGCAGGGCGACGGGACAGAAGGCCGCCGGCGTCAACCTGTGGCGGTGCTTCGATGAGGACGAGCTGCCCTCCCTGGCCGACGTCTTGTGCCAGACGTCGGGGGACATGGGTCTCAACATTGAGGTGAAGATGACGACAAAACCCGACGTCGAGCGGACGCCGCAAGAAGAGGTTGACTTCGTCGTCAGCGCGACGCTGGACACAATCAGCCGCTGCGTGGCCTCGAATCCACCGCGCTCGGGGCCCGTGGTGATGTCCTCGTTCGATCCTGACGTTTGTGCGGCACTGAGGGAGCGACAGACGGTGTACCCTGTCTTCTTCCTCTCCTGTGGCGGGCAGGAGGCCCACGTGGACCCCCGCCGCACGAGTGTGGAGGCCGCCGTGGAGTTCGCCCTTGCTCGCGACTTGGTTGGAATTTCAGTCGAGACGGCGGTGCTGAAGCGCGAGCAGCACCTGGTGGAGATGGCCACCTCACGCAGCCTAAAGGTGATGACGTACGGCCTGGGGAACAACGACACGGAGTGGATTATCAGGCAATCCGAGCTGGGCGTGCACGCTGCCATAGTGGACGACGTGGCGGGCGTCCTGTCTCAAATCGCGGCATCCAATGCCGCGGCATCATTATGAGGGAGAGCCGCTTCCGCGCGAATGCGAGCTCTCAACAATTTCTTGCAACATTTCTGTGGCAGTCGGGATATTTATTTGCACACAGGAAGGTTCCGCAGCATGGTGCTTAGGCAGCTAGGTCGATGAACTCCTCTCCACTGGTCCCATAATTTTTATTGATATTGAGATAGGATCTGGTGCAAAGCGAACTTAGCTTCGCCCGGACATCAGATGTTGTTTGTTGGGCCTACCTTGTGTGGGATCCAACGGCATTCTTTATCTAATTGTTTCTTGGTGGAGAGGGGCGGGAATGGGAACCCATGTTGCGCCTTTCAGTCCCTGCGACAGGTGATACGTTGCTGGGGTTGGAGTCCTGCCGCTCGACTGCTGTGTGGAAGAGCTGCTGTTGTGGCGATCAGCAACATGGATCGATGGCGACGCCTGCGGTGCGCTGGGGACCCGAGAATTTGTGTCCATGCAGCCTTCCTCACGACATGCATACACACGTGCAAGAGCAAGGCTGACTGAATGGCCTTAGCGAACATCGCCAGTGAGCTGGTTCACCCATTTGGGCCGGTGGTTAGCCTGCGGCGCAGCTGTGGGAAGCCACAACGCGCAGCTTTCAGCATTCGCATCTATATCATATTGGCATCTACGTGTCCTATTCATATCCCCGATTTCAAATATAGCACCTTGTTCATGCGTGGCAAGGTACCTGCAAATGCAAGGTGTTCAGCAGGTGCACATTATATCAAATCTTTTTATCCATGCGAGCGTTGTTGCAACTCGCTTTCAAGTGTTGGCATCCCACAAGCGCACCGCAAAAACCAGGTGATCAGCCACTGCTTCATCCGCAGCCAATCAATATGCAGAGCAATGCACGATCATGGTGGTCTTGAATAGAAAGAATACCCAAAACGAGTCCCCTCCTGTGCTACACAGTTCAGGACAGCCCTTTCCCACAAGAAGACGCTGCTTACCGCACACACCCAGCACCGGGCTTGGATGACACGTTTCTCCCAACAGGACAATCTCTACACCCTTTCCCAAGGGGTTACTAGGTTGCTTAATTTATTTGGCTACAATGACCAACTACAACAGGGTATTCGGGCCTCCAATTAATGGGGCTCATCAAAAAGTTAGTACATTAATGATATCAGTCAGCTGGCGAACCGTGAGATCTAGGTATGGTGCAGAGGGGATGTCGACAGCCTCAGCCCCTTCACCACACTGATCATCATCAAGCAGGTTGGGGCACAATGAGCTGGGAAACCCCCAAGTATCAGTCAGGCATGCTACATAATTTTCTAGTATTGCGAGCTCAAGGCACTCAGTTTGAGGGATTCAAACTGTACATTGTATATTAGAGCACAACAGGACAAACTGGCTGAAAGGGTTCACTCGGTACATTGTATGATAGAGCACAAAGGGACGAACAGACCATGAACTTGCCTTGCATATTAGAACGGACGGGCCGGAAGTGCGGACTCTGTACAATAGAGTAATGTACATCAGTAGAAAAGGCGGAAAACTGTGGGGAACTGCCGTGTTGGTGAACACGGTAGCATGAACACAAACAGGTCAAAAGTAGTTGTGGACGGCTAGCAGCTTGGTGGGTCAGGATGACGTGCAGGACGAGGGGACACAGTGGCCAGCGGGTGGCTCATTCCGAACAAGGAGATACGAATGGGCAAATGGGACAAAACAAAACATTCAAACCGGTTTCTGGCGGCGCCCCTTGGGCTGCCAAATTGCCGCCACCTGGGCAGCTATCAACATAGCTGCCCGGCTCCTATCTTGTAACACGAAGCTCCCATTCCAATTCTGCCCCGTCTCCCTCTCTCTCACTCCCTCAACCGACTCCCAGTTCGAAAAGGACGTACGGGCCGAGCCCCGGTCGGTCACAAGAAGGGGCGCAGCTCCCTTACACTCAGAGTGCAGGGAGATGACTTCGATGATAAAGATAGACTATGGCAACTTCATCATACGCCCAAAGAGTTCATCAAGATATTATAAAGATACTGAGCACAACGCCAATACATGGCAGCCCATCACACGGAGACATGAGTCAGACACGCCCGGAAAACGCCTTGGAGTGCTAAGGAGCACCCAGGTTGCCATTGCACGCGTGCATTGCTTAAGGGCTGCCCGCCTGGCGGTCTGCCATGGACCGTGGCGAGACGGAGCCAGGAGGAGTGCGTGGAGGCGCCACGTGGTTGTTTGATGGAAATGTGCCCCTTGGGGCATTACGTGTTTGCTGACCGTGGGAAGCTCACTTAAGTGTGGTTGTTTGATGGGAATGTGGCCCTTGGGGCATTATGTGGTGGCTATTTGCGGGCAGTGGGGCGTACAGGGTTGAGTTGCAGTGAAATGATGAGTGTTGCAGAAAGACTCCGGGTATGAAAAGAGCATCTCTTAGGAATAGGGGTATTTGCCAGACCTTGGGGGGCTACAAGCACTCGGGGCGTGGCGAAAGCCACAAGGGAACTCTGTATTGTTGCGCTCGGCCCGGCAGCTGTAAGAACGGTGGCGCGGCGTTCGTGTGTGCCTCTCGCGGCGGTCTGGGCACTCAGCCTGACTACCTGACTCCCCTGGCCGTGTGTGCGTCGTTCGCCACAGCCTGAGCGCAATAGCGCTGTACCTTTTCGAATGTCGTGGCCAGTCTATGCCTTTTCTGAGCCATTCTTCCTGCCGTTCAAGATCGACACTGCCAGCTCGGTATTGCTGCTGGCCAAAAGGGACAGACCTTCGTCGCTGCACAGCTTCGTTGAGGTGGAAAGAAGCACCTTTCGTGTATTGTATCGCTACGCTGTGGACAAGGCTCCCCCCACCCGTGGGGCTGACCTATGTCCTGACCTCGCTGACCTTTGAGGAGTGGCTGTGACCGATTGTGGCGCTCGGGGGAGCTGTTGTGATAGGTTCTCGAAGCGCGTCTGCATACTTGACGGTCTATTGGATGTCCGCCGCTCATCTGAAGCTTCCCTTGCCGTCGCTGCTCTTTTTAGTCGTTGACATCGTCGTGAATACAGTTCTTCGTGAAGAGCTGGTTCGCGCGAGGGCCAAGGCTTGTTCGTTGAGTGCACCCTCAACTAACGTGGTGCTGAGGCTGTCGACGTGGCTCAGCGTCCCGTTCATGGGTGATTTGACTGCGCTATCTCCGGGGATGCCGGCCAGAATGGACCGCCATCCTTTACAAGGGTCCAATGGAGCTCAACGCAGCTACATCACCTATGCGTCAACCTGGTATAGTTTGTCATCGCGTGCTAGTTCAACGTCATGTGTTGGAAACAAATCAAGATAATTCACCCTTCTTACTCGTTGACTCAGCAATTGCTGGGATCCGGCCCAAGAAGGGTGAACTATCCTGCTTGCTTCCTGGTACAGGGCAATGCACCTTGCAAGTCCCCTTCCAAAGCCACGAATGCCAATACCATTGTGTCGTCAACACAGCCAACCAACACCATCTGCGCGGTACACACCAATTTTTCGGTCCTTCCTTGGGGGAGCTCACCAGGGGACACAACCGTGCAAATTCGGTTGTGAGTGGGATGCTTGAACTTCTGAACGGCATGCCACAAACGCCACACGGCCGCACATCGTTTCCAGCGCTCTGCAAGCATGTCGGCATCACAGCATTAGGGCAGAAACGCCTACCTCTATTCAAATCCACGAATAAATGCAACCGAAATAACAACACATCCGCCTACAAGAGGGTAGTCAGATCTTTGGACAGGAACTGGAGCAGCTTGTCCGGGTGGTCGGAAATGTACCGATGATCGGAGTTCGGAAACCACACTTCTTGGAAGCCAGCCTTGGTGTGGCACTTCCACAGCTCCAGCTGTGCCCTGTGCAGCCGCCCGTCCTCCTCTCCGCACAGGGCGGCTATGGGGCACGGCAGGCCGCCTCCCTCCTGCACGGGCCCCCCTGTGGGTTGGTACGCCTCCACAAGACGAAAGTCGGCCCTCAGGACAGGGTACACGTATTCCCTAATAATCTCCTCCTCCAGCCCTGGAACCTTCCCGTAGCGCTTCTCGAAGGCGGGCCAGAACTCTTTGTAGGTGAGGTCCCCAAGGCGCGTGGGGTCCACGTCATGCTCCGCGCCGTTGAGGTGGGGCGGCCGGCACCCCGAGAAGTACGCCTGCGTGCACAAAGGGCCGGCGTGTGGGTGCGCCTGGGCGCTGTCCGGATGCGTTTCTGCCCGGTCCACGTTGCATTTGTGCACGGATATGGGCCTTCCGCAACATGGCCGCCAGGGGGGACAAACTAACCGTGGGGTTGCAATGCCCTGGCTGCGCTGAAATCTCCTCCCATCTCCCCAAACCCGCAATCGACAGAAAATGGAACACCGCCCCTTCGGAAAAGGAAAGAACGCGATTGGTAACCCTTCCATTTCGGCCCTTGCGCAACGTTCCCCTGCGATCGATGCTTTTTGAGCCGGGCCTGCGTGCGTTGCTTTTCGTGTGGCCGACGACCGTGGTGCCAAACAATCCCAAACTCCAGGGTGCCTTGCACACCGCCAGACGCACGCCATCTGCAAGCTTGTCCACATTCCCCCACCCCCGCAAGCCGGCACCGAATCCGCGCCCACCTTGGCCGGCGTAGGCCCGCCAGCCCGCGCCAGCGCGAGGGCCACCTCATACGCCACCCATGCGCCCATGCTGTGACCAAACAGCACAAAAGGCCTCTCCCGCATCAGGGGCGTCACGGCCTCCACCACCTCAGCCACCAGCGGCGCCATCGCCTCCATGGCCGGCTCCCCCGCCCTGCTGTTCCTGCCGGGCAGCTCCACTGGCAGGATCTCGATGTCCGCAGGCAGACCTGGGCCCCAGCCGTGGTACGCCCAGGCGCCTGTGCCCGCGGGAGGGAAGCAGAACAGCCGCAGCCTGGAGCCGGGCATCGGGTTCGCCTGCTTGGGGGCCCTCAAGATCCATCGATCGCGACCGGAGCTCGGCATCGGGTCACGATCCGCGCTCGGGGGGCAGCGGGCGGGTCGTGGGGGCGGCTTGGAGGTGGGAGTTGTGAGCGCCGTCGCGGGGACCGGCGTGCTTCGCTGCCTGGCGCGGCTGGTTCCATTCTTGGCAGGTGCG